GGAATACTGGCAGTCCAGCACAACCATTCATCCCTCTCAACTCAGATGAATATACTCCAACGAGCAGGAATCAAGATAATTGTGAATGTGTGAATGTACCAAACGAGAGACAAAAATACAGAGATTTTTGCTCAATCCACAGAGAGGAATAGAGTACAGAGATGCAATGTATACATTCGCTCATTTTTCTGAGGGAAAATGATAGCCTTGCAGTGTCCTGGGGAAACCTTATAACATGTATTTGGTTTGGGGGTGTGTGGAGGGTCTACAGTGGTAGCTCGGGTTACAGACACTTCAGGTTACAGACTCTGCTAATCCAGAAATAGTACCTCAGGTTAAGAACTTTGCTTCAGGATGAGAACAGAAATTGCGCGGTGACAGCAGCGGGAGGCCCCATTAGCTTAAGTGGTACCTCAGGTTAAGAACAGTTTCAGGTTAAGAACAGACCTCCAGAACGAATTAAGTTCTTAACCCGAGGTACCACTGTACTTTATATGTGTAGAAACAGCTTCTCTGTACCACTACTGATTCACAAAGTGTGTGGAAGGGTTCCTATTTTACTCCCACCATTGCAATTCTATTTCAAAATATTCCAACTGCTGTCACAATATATTTATAATGTGTTGTATACCAAAGCCTTACATCTAAATCTATAACCCAGTAGCTATGGAACAAAACCAGCTAGACTCACTTGATAAGTGAATAAAAGTAACGCTTTTATATTTTTATGTTGTGAACCCTGCTCCTCCCCTTCTTCAGTTGAAGGGTGGTATACAAATTTAATAAACAAACAGTCAAATAAATAAATAAATATCACCCCTCTCCCCCACATGGCACCTTGACAATGAAAACTGAAAGCAATAAAAATTTAGCATGACATCCTGGGAAATTATATCTGGTTGTGTGTTGTGTAAGACATAGTACCAAGCTGATGTATAGGGTTATTTCTTTATTACTCTTGCACAACATGCATGCACACACTCGCTAATGTATACAGCAAGAAGGGTTAACGCTCCAACCAACTGAGGCAGAGGGGGGAAATGTTGAGAGATCAGGGAGGTTATTATTTCCTTTTGTGCAGGCTGGTTTTAATCACTTTCTTGTACCTCTCCCTGCATTCATTTATCAACCCTTCACATAAAAGTTGCAAAGTGAGGTTATTCATCGGGTACCTCCATTCATCTCTGATTATTGACCAGGGAGGTTTCCAGTGGAAGCAAACCTGTGGGGTGGGATTCTTCTTGTTCATTCCGTACAGCCTGCTTTTGTTCCAAACCAGAACTGCATGTTTTCCTTCTGCATACCAATTTCAGGTTCCACAGAAAATACCAGTCATCTTCTGTCATGCAATATAGGCTTCATACCGGCCTGTCTCTATATGGGCAGGAATTTAAAGAAGATTAATGTAAGAAGTGGGCCCCAAACCAAAGGTCGACTTCTGACCTCCTGCATCTCTCTGCAAAAATAATTCCTATCGTGGAAGCAACCTTTGATGAACAACATAGCAATGATAATAAAAACACTAATATACTGTAGTTTTTATTATTGTTGTTGCTTTCTGCACCATAGCGTCTCAAAGCAACTTGTATAATAAACGTTGAAATTGCAAAAAGCCTTAAAACCAAATATAAAAAACACTGATAAAATTTGACCTGAAATGCACCTCTCAAAAACTATGCTTGAAAAGAACACACACTACCCATTTCACTTAAAAGGAGGAGAACAAAAAGAGGCCACAGACATAATTAGTTACTCCCTCAGTGAAGAACCTGTCTTTATCTCTCAAGGCAGTTTTCTCCTGTTAAAATCTCAAGAATGTCAGCTTTAAATGAAATAAAAGTAAGCATCTAGCCCTCATGACTGGAGAGATACCGTATTTTTCGCCCTATAGGACGCACTTTTTCCCCTCCAAAAATGAAGGGGAAATGTGTGTGCGAACTATGGGGTGAATGCAGGCTTTCGCTGACCTCTCGCTCTCCAGGCTTCAGGAAGCTATCCGCAAGCCTTGCAAGCCCGGCGGGAGTTCCTGCGGGCTCTCCAGGCTTGCGGGCAGCAGCCTGCAGCCCGAAGCACGGGGCGACCTCCGGGGCGCAGGTGTCCGCAAGCCTTGCGAGCCCGGCGGGAGTTGCCGCCGGGCTCCCTAGGCTTGCGGATAGCAGCCTGTTCTGGGGGCTGGGGTTGGGGGAAGCTCGGGCTTCCCCCGCCCCAGCCCCGTGGCTGGGGGGGGGGGAAATTTTTTTAAAATTTATTTCCCCCCCAAAAAAACGAGGTGCGTCCTATGGGCCGGTGCGCCCTATAGGGCGAAAAATATGGTAAATTTGAAATGCAATGGCAAAGGAGAAAGAAATACTCACAGTCCTATACTATTGGTTCTGTTTGTCAGGACTGAAGCAGGGTTTCCACAAACTGTAGTTAGCGTTAACCAAGAAAAGAAATTTTGTGCAAACTAAGTTAATTTTTATATATAGGCACTGTGGTCTAAACCACCGAGCCTAGGGCTTGCTGATCAGAAGGTCGGTGGTTTGAATCCCCACGACAGAGTGAGCTCCCGTTGCTCGGTCCCTGCTCCTGCCAACCTAGCTTTTAAATTTACTTGAGAGTGTGGTCTGTTCATTGCCAGAGGGGTAGAGAGAGGGACAAACACTGTAGGCAGATTAAAAGGGATATGCAAAGGGGTCTAACAACCCATATTCCCACACTATACTGCTGCTTAACTCTGTGAATGTTTAAAACTTTGCTGGGTGCTTTCTCCCGCTGGAGAGAAATCCAGGTATCTAACCAGTTCTTTTGTTAATTAACCCACACATGGGTGACAGATCTCATTATTTTTCTCCCACACTTTTTGCAATAAGGAAAGTGATGGGAAAATGCGCTGGAAACCCCTTCTTTGTTGCAGTGTCATCTAACCTTCCTGCAAAACAAATCGGGATGCATGCTCAAAGGTCATTTGGAAGCACGCCACGACACATTAGGAATGTAAATAGATTTCATTTAAATAACTAGTATTTTTAAATATGTATAGATTTAGTTTTGGTTTCTGTTCCTGGAAGCTTGTTTCTCTGACAGCTTTTCTCAACATTCAGTTTCCAACAATGAATGGGCAATCTGGTCCTGATCATTTGCTGAGGCGCATTTAACACCAGCAATGTGCTTTGCTCTGCTTCCCTCTTTTTCCCACCCCAAATCCCCACCACTCTCAAATGGAACTCATAATAACTCTCTGTTCCTTGTCAACAACTGAACTGATATCTTTTCCCCATGCACTACAACCTACCAAAAGAAAAAAGAAAGAATAATCTGGCAGCTGCTGGCTTGTTGGAAAACGCAAAAAACCAAACACCTGTTTGCCAGATATTGAGAGCTCTGCGTCTGACACCACTGATCCATCTGTAGAGCATAAACATAACTTTCATCAGCTGCTTCTCATAGCATGGGGTGGCACTGGAGTCCATTACAGAGTACATCAACATTGTACTCCAACAACAACAATAATAATAGGAGAGTCTTTTATGATGGCATGAACTGGCAGACTTCCATGAACAGCACTAAGCTGCAGATTGGGCTGTATCGTCTGACATTTTCTCCCCTCATTCTCTCTGCATCTCCCTCACCTCCACTGCTCATCTGTCCTGCTTTAGGCTCCTAACAACTATTCGAAAAGTTAGAGACACAGAGAATGTGATGACAGGAGTGACAATATTATGAATATCAGTTAGCACCAATCAAAACACCTGTGTGCCAATCCACCTTGGGGTCATATATGCATACAGAAGCAGGCTTCCATGAACTATCTTTAGCTGGGTGGGGAATACCATGTTCAGATGGGCACTGCGGATGCTATTTTCCTGCCAGGTCCAGCAGCTGAAGCTATGTAAGCACAGCCTCAGTTAAATATTCCAAATACTGCTGATGTGTTGTTTAAGGGGGCAGCAGGAAGCTGGACTTGTCACCCCACATGCTACTTCTCCTGTGTGAAGAGCTGCTTGGCAGTAAGGACGATTCTGAATTCCTCCTCATCCAGATTCTTCCCCGGATTGTAGTTCTTTCTAGATGGCCTGGTCTTGTTTCTAAAGTGGAATCCAATGCATTAGGAATACTTCATTGTTCCAGCTCTTATTTTCAAATTTTGTACAGAGTCCTCCATATTTGCCCCGCTTCCCAACACTTCTCAGAAACCCCCTCAAAACCCCCCGTCTGCCTTGGTGAGATTATGCAGAAGTGGAACTTCCTCCCCAAGCAAGACAGGGAGCTTAAAAGCCCTTTTTGTGCGAGGTCCACTTGGATTATCCAGCACGAAGAGAACTTTTGAGCTCTCCTACTTTCTAGCTAGGGACGCGGGTGGCGCCGTGGGTTAAACCCATTGCTCGGTCCCTGCTCCTGCCAACCTAGCAGTTCGAAAGCACATCAAAGTGCAAGTAGATAAATAGGTACCACTCCGGCGGGAAGGTAGACGGCGTTTCGGTGCGCTGCTCTGGTTCGCCAGAAGCGGCTTAGTCATGCTGGCCACATGACCCGGAAGCTGTACACCGGCTCCCTCAGCCAATAAAGCGAGATGAGCGCCGCAACCCCAGAGTCGGCCATGACTGGACCTAATGGTCAGGGGTCCCTTTACCTTTACCTTACTTTCTAGCTGGGCAAGGCTTGCTTGGTATGTGGGCTGTGTGAGTACTGGGGACTCCCTCCCCCGTCAAATGCTAACTGCTCTCCAAGGGTTATGCACAATCTTTGTGCAAATGTGGAATCCTTGGAACCAAACCCCCACCTAAAGTGCAATCATACTGTGATTCAATACAGGTGCTTTTAATAGAAGACCTGACTCCTTAATACTCTTTCCTAGATTGGTTTCCAGAAAAACACTATACTTTTAAAGCACATTCAAAGCACTTTCTTCTGCTCAAAAGGAAGAATGCAGTTTCCCCCTCAGATTTATAATTCATTCATTATTTTATTTGCAGGCCACTTTTCTACGCCGCCTCCCCCCCCCCCCCAATCATGCTTGAAGCAAAGAAAACCATACAGTGCAAAAGCAATTCCATAAAACCAGACCAAATATCACAACATAGGAAAAACAACGTTGTTATATTTGCTCTAGTTTTATGGAATTATTTTTGCACCGTATGGTTTTCTTTGCTTTCAGCATAGGAAAACCAACAGGGATGCAGATGGTGCTATGGGTTAAACCACTGTGCTGCTTGGGCTTGCCGATTGAAAGGTCGGCGGTTCGTATCCCCATGTCGGGGTGAGCTCCCGTTGCCCAGTCCCTGCTCCTGCCAACCTAGCAGTTCGAAAGCACGTCAAAGTGCAAGTAGATAAATAGGTACCGCTCCAGCGGGAAGGTAAATGGCATTTCCGTGCGCTGCTCTGGTTCTGCCAGAAGCGGCTTAGTCATGCTAGGCATATGACCTGGAAAAACTGTGGAAGCGGACAACGCAAGCTCCCTTGGCCTGTAAAGCGAGATGAGTGCCGCAACCCCAGAGTCATTTGCGACTGGACTTAATTGTCAGGGATCCCTTTACCTTTACCTTTAGGAAAACCAACATGTCTCTACTATAAATATAGCAAGATTACAATAATGACATCCAACAGGAAAAGTAACAAGGGAGCTTGACAATTTCACAACAGTCCTAGAAACACACTTCCCATGATGTTGCCCCCAAAATGACTGCTTGGACTTTTTGTGTAATACTTTTTGTGTAATAGCATTTCCAGGAAATAACTTGCAGGGGGTTCTTGATCTCAGATGAACCACCAGAGGAAACACGCATCTTGGTTGTTAGGAAGAAACAAAGGACAAATCAAGTATCTAGCATGTTTTCGAGCTACAGAAATCCCAAAGAGTAGAAAATGAAACAAAAACGAAAAATGCACTAAAGGAGAGGGAAAAACAGCAGCTCTTTAGGACTGCAGAGATCCAATAACCTGGTGTCCAAATAAATAACTTATCACTCATAGTTCTGTCTTCACTAATTGGTGGCTGGTGCATTATGGGAAGTAAGAGGATAGGACCTGAACCAATGACTTCAAGTTATAAGAAGCGAGATTTTGACTAAACATCAGAAAGAACTTTCTGATGGTAAGTGCTGTTCAACAATGGATTGGACTCACTTGGAACGTGGTAGGCTCTCATTCATTTGAGATTTTAAAGCAGAAGTTGGATGGTCATCTGTTTTTTCTTTTTAATTAATATTTATTAAAGTTTCAGAAAAAAATAAAATCACATTTATAAACAAGAGAAATTTGAAAAGAAAAAAGAAAAATACACAATAGAAAATAGAAAATACAAAATACAAAAAGAAAAAAACAGAAAAAAAAACAGTTAAAAACAATTCCGTCTTTTCATAACTTCCTTTACATTTACTTGTTTCCCGGACTTCCTCATACCTCCCTATTTGTATTCCAATTCCGGTTGTTAATCCAACAATTTCTTTCCCTCCTTTTTAATCCCAATCCTTAATCTTAATATATTATGACATTAGATTTTTACCTATTTGAAACCAATTTTACCATTCTTTTAACTTTTTAAATCCTAATCCTTAATCTTAATATATTTATAGCTTTAAAACCTATACAGCTAGAAGCCATTTACCTTCAATCCAACATCATTCTAACATTCATTAATTTTGCAATGTTTCTGTAAATAATCTTTGAATTTCTTCCAATCTTCTTCCACCGACTCTTCTCCCTGGTCACGGATTCTGCCAGTCATTTCCGCCAATTCCATGTAGTCCATCATTTTCATCTGCCATTCCTCCAGTGTGGGTAACTCTTGTGTCTTCCAATACTTTGCGATAATGGATGGTCATCTGTCATGGATGTGTTAGTTGAGATTTCAGTGTTGCATTGGGTCAGACTGGATGACCCTCAAAGTCCCTTCCAACTCTACAATTCTATGATTGTAACCATCCTTTCATTTTTTTGCTATCTAACTGTGCAGGTGCCTTCCCTGACAGCTTTTTTGCTTGAGAACGTATAAAGTACATCAAGTACATGCTTGATTCTGTAGAAAGTACATCTGCTTGTCCAGACCAAAGCCAGTCCCCCCTCAAAGCAGTATTTTCAATGAGTTCTCAGACTAAATATATACTTCAGTCAGCTCCAGTGTGACAAAGATCATTTACAGAATTTCCATAGTACTCCAGACTTGAAATGTGTAAATTCCAGAAAACCCAGCATTTGCCAGTTGCACTATCAGCTGGAGGTGTAAAAATCAGTCGTGCCTCCATGTAGCAATCTTGTAACACACTGTATGGTGAATGAGACTTTCGAGGCCCTCTCCAATTGCTAACTTTAACACTCACCCCTAATATATTCTGACTTAAAGTGTGCAACCTTGTTTAAAATGCACTGCTAAAATGCACATTTTCCTGTATTGCTATGTCTGAATGCATGATAACCAGGTTGAAAATCAAATTATCTGTTACAGTGACTATTACAGTGTGAACGCTGCCTGCTGTGCTGTGAATAAAACTTGTAAACAAAATTAAGTCTGTTTCTTTTCTGTTTTGTATGGGCATGAACACACAGGCACACACCACCCCTTGCAACAAAACAACAACAACAAAATTGTCACCTTCTGCTGTCCTATTGTCACAGCTGCTCTCCTTTATTATGGATGGCATCTCCAGTGAAAAGTCAGTACGAATCCTCTTTCCTGAAAGCAAAGATTCTATCGGAAAAACCTGCCAGTTGCAATGAATAATGAAAAAACATCAGCAACTGACGTCACAGTTTAAACTTGGTGGCATAGCAAATTGCTTTGTATGACTAAAGGCTAGCTTTCTCTTACAACACCCAGCCTTTCTCAAACTTGGGTCAGCAGATGTTCTTGAACTACAACTACAGAAATCCCTCACCACTGGTCATACTGGCTAGGAATGTGGGGAGTTGTAGTCCACCAACATCTGGGGACCCAAGGTTGAGAAAAACTGGAACATGTGTTGCTTTAAAACAAAGAGAAGAAGCCTGAGGCCCACCACTCCCATCTGCCCAAGGTGGCATGGCCAATGGGATGATGGGAGTTGTAGTCTAAGAACATCTGGAGGACCACCGTTTTCCCATCGCTGCTTTATCATGGACAGGTATTTTGATTGTTCTCATTACCCTTCTTACTTCCTAAAATATCTAAATGAGAACACATCAGGCTAGTATAACTTACAGAAAATGGTTCCTCTATACACAAACTGATTGCTCTGTGTGACCTGCTTCCCTCCTGTCAAATACAGGAAGGTGCCTTGTCCCACATCAGACTATTTGTCCATCAAGCCCAGCACTGGGCAACACCCCCAGGGTCTTGAGCAGAGGACATTCCCATCACTTCCTGCCTGATCCTATTTACTGAGCCTGTTGGAGTTTGGCAAGAAGTATCAGTGGACCTCTTAGTTCAAAGGGAGAGCCATCACAAATAGAAAAATCTTGAAACAACGGAAAAGTTCTAATCACAACCATCCGAATCTTAAAATATTTCATTTGCATGGTAGGGAGGCTGTTTAAGGCTCAGTTTCATTGTAGCAGTAGTTTTAATCTTTCTTTCTTTTTGGTTGGGGGATACTTGAGACACAATAATTAGATTATATGAATGTATAACATCAAGGGGAATTCAATTGTCTTGATGCCATACAAGGCAAGGTTATTGGAAGATCTCCGTGAAGGAAGCTGTAAGCGTCACTGCGCTGGATCGACAAACTCTCTTGGCAGCCTCTCTACAGTCTACTGCCAACCGTCAGACGTTCCCAATCACAAATTTGAGAGAGGAAAAACAAACCCCATGAGTTATGGGGGTTACGGTGACCAGGAATTACTGAAAAAGCTATCTGTTACAGAAGGAGTTTGAGGGTTTCTGCATTATTAAAAGCCAAGCAGTCAAACGTGTAACGTGGCATCACCATGTGCAAGGAAAAGCAGAGCACTGTCTGTAAATAATGGCAGTACGTTGCAGTTCAGAAGGAGCCAGCAGGCGAATACTTCATAAATAAGACTACAGACTTAACCTCATGTGATGGGTGATTTTGCACCTCTTCTTATTCCTTTGCAGCCATAATGTTGACCAACTCCAACCCTGAAGACACCTAAGTAGTCTTGTCTCAAGAAAGACAAACTACGGCTGGCATTTGATCAACACAAAAGGGTTGTTGTTGTCGTTTAGTCATTTAGTCGTGTCCGACTCTTTGTGACCCCCTGGACCAGAGCACGCCAGGCACTCCTGTCTTCCACTGCTTCCCGCAGTTTGGTCAAACTCATGCTGGTAGCTTCAAGAACACTATCCAACCATCTCGTCCTCTGTCGTCCCCTTCTCCTTGTGCCCTCCATCTTTCCCAACATCAGGGTCTTTTCCAAGGAGTCTTCTCTTCTCATGAGGTGGCCAAAGTATTGGAGCCTCAGCTTCAGAATCTGTCCTTCCAGTGAGCACTCAGGGCTGATTTCCTTCAGAATGGATAGGTTTGATCTTCTTGCAGTCCATGGGACTCTCAAGAGTCTCCTCCAGCACCAGAATTCAAAAGCATCAATTCATCGGCGACCAGCCTTCTTTATGGTCCTGCTCTCACTTCCATACATCACTACTGGGAAAACCATAGCTTTTACTATACTGACCTTTGTTGGCAAGGTGATGTCTCTGCTTTTTAAGATGCTGTCTAGGTTTGTCATTACACACCCTATCACACACTTGGTTTCAAGATGTGAGGGTTCATGAGGCAATGCCAACTTGCATGACATGTGCCAGTTGAACCAGCCACACACACACCTTGATCAGCAACCATGTCAAGGATCTTACATGAGGAGGAAATCCTAAATGGCCCACAGATTCCTCCTTGCCTAAAGGAGCCCTAGACATGTATGTCTTTGGCAGGGAGGTTGCGCTAGGCAGCCAGAGACTCCAACCTTTTCATATGTGCTTTTTAATCTGTGAGGAGGGTTGCTTGAAGTACCCTTAAGCAAAGAATCCCATCCCATCCCATGAATTTGGTCCCAAACTTTCCAATCAGTTGACTCTTTACAAAGAATAGCTTCTTGGGGAGAAGACAAATGCCCAAATCAAATAAACAAGCACAAAATAATAGTTGGGTACAGGGGGCAATGGAGAAATGGCTCTTCCAACTAGACGCTCTATACCTATTACAAACTGATTCTCTACCCCCAATAATAAAACACTTTTATGCTTTTGACTTTAATCCAATTGAGGTTTGGTTAAAAAAATGACAAATGAGCTGAGAACTTGGACCAGCATCTTCTTGTTGAGAGAAATGTCCTGCTAATGTGCTTCTCTCTAGTTTCATTCATGCCCGACTAACTTTAGAAGAAAAAGGCAAGCAGCTGTGGCTACTGACAGAGCAAAATCGGCAGCTGCAAGGCTGAGGCTCCACTTTTCAGCATGCTGCTTTCTTGCAGAAGGGTCTCTGAGTGTGTGGTCGGCTTCATAACTGTCCTCTTTAGGAAGCACTTAAAACCCATATGTCTGACTCAATTATTGTTCTTGGGATAGGCTGCCATGTTCATCACGGCCTACCTGTCTAGTTAGTTTGCTTTTCTGGTTGCTCTCTTCCTTGCAAGTGGTGTTCACAAAGAGGTTCTTAATGAAAGCAATAGACAAAGATTTAAGGAGGGGGAACCAGCGTGTCTTACAGGAGTGTGTGTCCATGTGTGTGTGTCTGTATCCCTGGATGAGAAGCACTTCTATGTAAAAAAGAATTTTTTAAAAAGCATAATGAGTAGATCCAGCAGCATATAGTGAACCAGGCTGCCGGTTGGAACCACTGGCCAGCACTGGAGGGCACATTGTGGGAAGTCCTTACTGTCTAAGCCATGGCCCGGTCTTATTCAACATCTTTATCAACGACTTGGATGATGGACTCAAGGGCATCCTGATCAAATTTGCAGATGACACCAAACTGGGAGGGGTGGCTAACACCCCAGAGGACAGGATCACACTTCAAAACGACCTTGACAGATTAGAGAACTGGGCAAAAACAAACAAGATGAATTTTAACAGGGAGAAATATAAAGTATTGCACTTGGGCAAAAAAAATGAGAGGCACAGATACAAGATGGGTGACACCTGGCTTGAGAGCAGTACATGTGAAAAGGATCTAGGAGTCTTGGTTGACCACAAACTTGACATGAGCCAACAGTGTGACGCGGCAGCTAAAAAAGCCAATGCAATTCTGGGCCGCATCAATAGGAGTATAGCATCTAGATCAAGGGAAGTAATAGTGCCACTGTACTCTGCTCTGGTCAGACTTCACCTGGAGTACTGTGTCCAGTTCTGGGCACCACAGTTCAAGAAGGACACTGACAAACTGGAACGGGTCCAGAGGAGGGCAACCAAAATGGTCAAAGGCCTGGAAACGATGCCTTATGAGGAACGGCTAAGGGAGCTGGGCATGTTTAGCCTGGAGAAGAGGAGGTTAAGGGGTGATATGATAGCCATGTTCAAATATATAAAAGGATGTCACATAGAGGAGGGAGAAAGGTTGTTTTCTGCTGCTCCAGAAAAGCAGACACGGAGCAATGGATCCAAACTACAAGAAAGAAGATTCCACCTAAACATTAGGAAGAACTTCCTGACAGTAAGAGCTGTTCGACAGTGGAATTTGCTGCCAAGGAGTGTGGTGGAGTCTCCTTCTTTGGAGGTCTTTAAGCAGAGGCTTGACAACCATATGTCAGGAGTGCTCTGATGGTGTTTCCTGCTTGGCAGGGGGTTGGACTCGATGGCCCTTGTGGTCTCTTCCAACTCTATGAATCTATGATTCTATGATTCTAAGGCCCGGGGGCCTGATCCGGCCCCATCGCCTTCTAAATCTGGCCTGCAGACGGTCTGGGAATCAGCGTGTTTTTACATGAATAGAATGTGTCCTTTTATTGAATATGCATCTCTGGGTTATTTGTGGGGCATAGGAATTCGTTCATTTTTTTCTTCAAAATATAGTCCGGCCCCCCACAAGGTCTGAGGGACAGTGGACCGGCCTCCTGCTGAAAAAGTTTGCTGACCCCTGGTCTAAGCACTGGGAGTTGACATTCAGCCATGCTAGCATGCAGTTCTGGCCTGAATAGGCACCTTTGCAGACATCAGCAACCTACGCCAGAAACAACTGTGTAGTTAGCAACTAGGTGCTTGGTTGCTGTGTGAGGAACTCCTTTCTCACTGCTTCTTGCAAATATACGTAAGAGTGGGAACCACCCCTGCTGCCCTTTGCTCACAGACCTGAGACAGTGTAAAAAAGGTAAAGGTAACCTTCCTGCCACAGTGATACCTATTTATCTACTTGCTTTCGAACTGCTAGGTTGGCAGGAGCTGGGACAGAACAACGGGACCTCACCCCGTCATGGGGATTCAAACCGCCAACCTTCAGATCAGCAAGCCCAAGAGGCTCAGTCGTTTAGACCACAGCGCCACCTGTGTCCCTCTTAGACAGTGTATGGGGTGCCAGAGAGGAAATTTGCCTCCAAATTCCCACTGAGCCATGAAGCTCACTCAACCAGCCATCTAGCACAGGGATCAGCAACCTTTTTCTGCCATGGGCTGGTCCACCATCTCTCAGATCATGTGGTGGGCTGGACTATATTTTGAAAAAAAATAATGAATGAATTCCTAGGATTTTGCACACTCTCCAGCGGGAGAAAGCACCCAGCAAAGTTTTAAACATTCACAGAGTTAAGCAGCAGTATAGTGTGGGAATATGGGTTGTTAGACCCCTTTGCATATCCCTTTTAATCTGCCTACAGTGTTTGTCCCTCTCTCTACCCCTCTGGCAACAAAGAGACCACACCCTCAAGTAAATTTAAAAGCTTTACTTACAAAATCCAAAGGTGTTATTCCATGCAGCAGTAAGGAAAACACAATTAGATTACTTTTGGTTACTAAATATAAAAAGATGGTTTCAAGTCAGCAAACTTTTTCAGCAGGGGGCCGGTCCACTGTTCCTCGGACCTTGTGGGGGGCTGGACTAGATTTTGGGGAAAAAATAAATGAACGAATTCCTATGCCCCACAAATCACCCAGAGATGCATTTTAAATAAAAGGACATATTCTACTCATGTCAAAACATGCTGATTCCCGTACCATCCGCGGGCTGGATTGAGAAGGCGATTAGGCCTTCTCTGGGCCTTAGATTGCCTACCCCTGATCTAGCAGAAGGAAAACTCTGATCCTAAACCACCTCTGCCTTGTGGGACAGCGTCGGGAGAAGAAAAAAAACAAGGCGTGAACCCTACACAAATGCAGTGTGGAGTTCCTAAGATGGTTGGATGGCTCCTTGTACGCCTCCTTCTGGCAACTCCTTCAGCCCAGCTGGTGCCAAACGTATTGCTCTGCTTTCCTTTGGACCACATCAGTGAGGCGGGGTGGTGGTCTTGTCGTCTGGGCAGCCCAGGGTCTCCAGACACACTGCCCAGGCTTGCACCCTGGGGAGGTCACTTTGGTGGTGCTAATGCAGTGATTTGAGTTCACCCCAGGAGGCACACTCCACTGTCTCTTGAGACAGATGGTTGCCAACCACAAGCATCAGAGCCACTGCAATGCCAGGGAAAACCCTCTGCTCTCTGTGCAGTTCCGAGTGGCCGTTGGCCCTCACTTTTGATGATCACCCACATCTCTCTCCTGCTGTGTGTACATGCACTGAAAGGGAGCAGTTGCTAACAGGTTCTTAAGGTGAAGCATATCTGTGGGGTGCATGCATGTCAAGCCACCACATGCAATCTGCACGCGGTCATCATTTCCCCCCCTCCCAACACAGAAGTGCTTTCTGTACAGGATATTTGGAAAGTCTCAGGCAGTCCTCAGAGGGCATGCATGCCTATTTATCACCCTGCAAGTTGTATACGAGGTGGAACGTTTGGCTAGAATTCTTTCTAGGACACTAATAAAAATAAACGAAGGCAACGGAGCCTTAATTTATTGGATGTTCAGATTTAGCGGTTGTTCTCGGTAGGTCATTCTCCTTACAAGTGGCCAGGAATTATGACAGCTTGCACTTTCCCATGAGAACTATATGTAGAAACAGGTAATTAGGACTGCCACTCAAGTGTTTTCTAACAGACAGGAGTGCAGCACAGTTGGGGCTTGATGCTAACTGCTCCGACTGGTGAAACCTTTCTCCCAGCACCTAGACTCAAATGAACAACATTTATAATGGTAAGTTCTTTGCAAAATAGAAGGCAAATATTGTGTTATGGGGAAAGCATCAACTAATAGCTCTTTGGAGAATCAAAAGAATAGCAGAGAATTCAAAAGAAAATAAAACCTCTTATGCACTTTCTAAATATTAAGAGTTTTGTTTCTGTAGGGAAAATCATGTCTACCCTATCCATCCGCTTTCTGAATTGTGGGTTCCACAGCTATAGCATTTATTTAAAAAGTATGCTTGTTAAGGAAATACGTATTCCCCAGAAAATATTTGTCCCCTCCCCCCAAAAATTGTTTGTTGAATGCTAAATATGATGCTTTAAGTAGTCGCCATACACAAAAGCATTTTTTTAGACTGCAATCCTATACACATTTTCCTGGGGTTTACTTCTGAGTAAACATAGATAGGATTGTGCTGGTGATAGCCGTGTGTGTGTGTGTGTGTGTGTGTGAGAGAGAGAGAGAGAGAGAGAGAGAGAAAGAGAGAGAATCCAAAATTGGTTATATCAACTTTGATTTCTGTTTTGTTTTGGAAATTTACCGGAATGTACACCAGAGCTATTTAATTTTCCTTTTAGATGAACACAGAGATGAATGTTTGACGGAATTCCCATCTTTTTACACTAGTACTGCTCTGTCAGTCTTCACCAGCCATGTGACACCACATAATGTAACAGGTGACACATTCCCCATCACCTTATTTCTGTGCCAGGAAAAGTTTCTCCTGCTTAATTGTTTCAATTCATCCGGCTGCCAGTTCAGAAGCAGGGTCAGGAAAAAGCTAGCAGTTTTGGTCTGGGAGTTTCTTCAGCAATCGTAACACTGAACTTGCGGAAGGGCAATCCTAGCCAAATCATCTCAAAATATGTCCCTTCAATTTGTTGAGATGGTAAAGCATTTATAACTCAGCTCAACAGAGCACAGTGCAATGACACTGTAAACTTACAGTTGCGAAGGGTCTGTCTTTCTTCAGTTTGCAAGAATACAATGCCCCTTATTTTCCAAAAATTACCTGGCTGGAGTAAATTACAGTAGCAATAATTTAACAACTGTGGGAGAGACCATAAAACTTTCTGCCCCTTATTAACTACTGTGTGACTATTAGGTTTATGGAGGATGTTAACATTGCACAATAGGAGGAGAGAGGGGGAAAACCCCATTGTAAACAGGCCTCCAAACTGCTGGAAAGCAATTTTCCCCATGAGAGGTAAAGGGGGCCTTGCCAACTTCTCTGAGGTATGTGAGGGGTCATGCGCCAATCATCTAAAGCAAGTCAATTCCCTGCTGCTAAGTAAATAAACTTAATTGCAAATTTGTGGCGTACTGAGACGTTTTAAAGTAAGCACGCCATCGAGAACGCCGAAATCTCCATTCTAAGTTCATGGAGAAAGAAAACGGCCTCTTTAAAAATCAGCTTGCTGCTCACGGCTCCCCTGAACAGTGCCTCCAGGCAAGTGGTTAAAAATACGATTTTTATAAACAAACCTGACATTGCAAACTTAATGCAAAACCCTGTGCATATATCATAACTTACGCGTTCGCAACTTGTTTAAATTAGAGCCAGAAAGAGGGTGTGTGTGTGTGTGTGTGTAGGGAGGGAGCAAGCAAGCAAGAAGGAAACAAAATTGGCAGATTAACTCTTTCTTAAACAATGCTCACAAGGTGGTAGCGTATTTTGCAGCTTCAGATGTGGCTCCACTAGCTGTGCTCTGGTTATTGGTCTCCTATGTTTCTACACTTAAGGATGTCCCAGCGCTTTTTGTTCACAGCTCCTCTATACAGTGTTCAGCTCAACTCTGAGAAAAGGGGTATGCGCGTGTCTTTCCCCCCTTTCACCCCACTTCCATTTACCAAAGCCTATTACTGTCATATTGGCACAGTCACAGGAATCTAAGGTTATGTTCACATGAGTCTTGGAATGCTGTGGGACCATTCTACATCTGTTGCACTTTCAAATTGCTTTCTTCCGTTTCTGTTCACAACTGAGTCAGGGCAGGGCTGCCTTCACCTGCTGATTTGCTGCCCCATGCCAAACTCAGTGAAGTGGTTGTCGGCGCATGTGCCATCACCTGCACATACGCAAAAGCCTCCTAAACTGTTCACACCACAGTGTAACCACACCTTCCATTTTCTGGAAGCTGGTTTGAGGTTAGGCGCATCAGTGGGGAGCATTTCTCAAGCCACAGATGGATTGTGGCTAATATAGTGTGAAGCCAGCTTCAAACTCCAGTGGACGGAGTGCACTGGAAATGCAGCGAATACTGATGTAAATGCAACCAGAGTGGGAAGGTACAGGATTATTATTTTTTTGTTCTTGTCTTCCTGCATGTGCCTGTTCAAAGGAACCCATGCTGTTCAGCTGAAGTGTTCTTGGCTAGAGTTAAGTAGAATAAATTTCTTTTTAAAAGCCACCAAACAAAGCATAATTTAACTGAATAAAAACAGCCTATTGTGTAAACTCAGAAATGTTTCCAGATCTGTTTTATAGAAGCAAAATCCAGAAGTTCTGTTAGTCAATCTGCATATGAGCAAAGCTGGGCTTGAGCATCAGGCCTTTAGGGGTTCTGTGTAGTATTTAGATTTGATTCGTCTCACCATACCAGCAGAGGGACACCGTGACGTGATTCACAAATATTAAACCATAGTTTAAAGCAAACTGTTGCTGTTGTTTAATGTGAAAAAGCAGCATACTGGATCCTACTGTTCAAAAGTTCCCACAGTGTTCCCCGCTTCCCTTGCTGTGCCTTGTTCAGACCTGGGTTCATGGTTCATTTGCTCCAAACAAACCATGAGTGGTAACAGATATTTGTTTGTGGATTACTACTTGTGCATACCCTCCAACATTTCTCTGATGAAAATAGGGCTGTCCCATTCCATAATGATAATTTTACTATTTATACCTCACACATCTTACTGGGTAGCCCAACCATTCTGGGCAGCTTCCAACATATATAAAAACATAATAAAACGTTAAACATTAAAAAACTTCCCTATATAGGAATGCCTTCAGATGGTTCAGGGGTCAGATAACTCCATAAAGGTAAAGGTAAAGGGACCCCTGACCATTAGGTCCAGTCGTGGCCGACTCTGGGGTTGCGGTGCTCATCTTGCTTTATTGGCCGAGGGAACCGGCGTAGAGCTTCTGGGTCCTGTGGCCAGCATGACTAAGCCGCTTCTGGTGAACCAGAGCAGCACATGGAAACGCCGTTTACCTTCCCACCGGAGTGGTACCTATTTATCTACTTGCACTTTGAAGTGCTTTGAAACTGCTAGGTTGGCAGGAGCTGGGACAGAGCAACAGGAGCTCATCCCATATGGGGGATTCGAACCACCGACCTTCTGATCGGCAAGTCCTAGGCTCTGTGGTTTAACCCACAGCGCCACCCGCGTCCCTAGATAACTCCACACCTTCCAACAATTCTCCAATGAAACTAGGGACACCCTAAGGAAAAGTGGGACATTCCGGGATCAAATCAGAAACCGGGACAGCTTCACTAAATCAGGGAAGTCCATGGAATATAGGGACACTTGGAGGGTCTGCATGTGATGTGTTTGAAGGAAATGAACCATGTGTCCAGGTTTGGACAACGTGATAAACCAGACTCTGCAGGGTGCAGTGGTGCTAAGCTTTGCTTCAGGCAGAAAAATCTCTTGGGCCTATGACTGAATTATACTGAAAAGCAAAGAAAACATGCCTGCTGGAAGCCAGGAAGGGAAGAACCTGAGAAGTCTCTGGTTGAAAAGAACCTTGTACAAAGCTCTAATGGTCAAACAGTTGATTGTATTTACATATATATATGTGTGTGTGTATAAATTAAAAGCACACTTTTTATTTTTTAAAAGGAACATTTGATGGAGCAAGTAAGCTAACAGATGAACTTCACAGGTTCTTGTTAACACCTCCATATATGTGGGTGTGTGAGAGAGTGGTATACCCTTCTTCATCATAAGATCTCAGGGCGGTTCACAGAATCAAAGGCAAGATAAAAACAAGTAACCCACAAAACAGCAAAACAATAACCCCACCCCCTTCCCACAGACACATTTAGAAGGCTGTAGAATATTAATCAGCATTATATAAAAATATATATATAATGAAGGCGCCAGGCAAACCTCCCTGCGGGAGCATTCCATGAACGGCATACCTCCTCGACAAAAGCATACCCATAATTAACTGAAAGCTACAGGTAGGAAGAGTAATTAACAAAAGGTGAGGAGGAATCATCAGGCACAAGGTAAAGGTCAAAATCCGCAACTCCTACTTACAGTCCCCACTACAGCACAAAGCACTCATGGTACTCACTGTTATGTAGTACAGGCACCTCTGTTTTTGCTGTCTAGGTTTTGTTCCGGCATCCATGGCACGTTTATCAAGATATGAGTACTGGCCTCTCATTTATTTATTTTTTGCCCTCCCCAAACACACACACACAAACAGAGGATGTTGAATTGCTCTTTCCAGCCTGCCCTCTCCAGTAAGGTTACCAAAAAATTTTCAAAGAATCCGGGGACCCTTTTTTTTTTAAAGGGGGGGGGGAGTTATTTTTAAAAAGTTATTTAAAATAATAATAATTAAGAAGCAATATCTTCTCTTCTGTGGTCTCCTCTGTCGCGCAGCCTTCCTTTGGGCCTTGGCCTGTTCTCTTGGAGTGCTAGCTGCCGTGGAGTAGGCTCAGGTCAGGCGTGGGCTTGGCCACGTGTCCTTGCCCTCCCAGTGCTCTCCTACCTCTCCTCCTCAGTGGCAGCGGCAGTGGTGTGACAAGGTCGGGGCTCCCCTCTTTTTTCTCCTTCCTTTTTCTCTCTCTTCCTTCTCCTTCTCCTCTCCTCCTTCTCCCTGCTTCAGCTCCTGGGTTTTCCTGGCCCCAGAGCGCCACTGGGCAGTCGGCCGGGTGCTCTCATTCCCAGCTCGATTTGGGTCACAGGGAGTGCCAGCGGTTCCCCAGTTGATGCACTGGGTGTCCCTGGTTCCTCCTTGGCAGTGGCAGCAGCAGTCTCAGCAGCTTGGAGCCAGCCTGGTAGCGCAACTGGCTCTGGCTGGCTTCAGGAGCTGCTCGCTGCCGTGGTGCCCGCCATTTTGCCTTGCCGGAAGTCCCCATATGATGTGTCTTGTGCCGTTGAACCAATCACACAACATGCATTCCCTACTAATAAATCTACAACACTTAAAATATTAATCCGGGGACATTAAATGAAATCCGGGGATGGATTTTGTCCGGGGACAGATTTGTAAATCCGGGATGGGGACATCTGGTAACCATACTCTACAGGGAAGGAAACATTTTGTGAAGAGGACCAGGAACTAATCCAAACATCCCAGACACATCCTGATTCTAGACCAGGACGGTTGCCATATTTGGCATTAGGGAACTGGAATTTCCAGAAGGGCTTCTCCTTTGTGTGCCGTCTTGCGGTGTCATCCAAGGTCATTTTATACCACAGGTATAATAAGGAAGATAATGAGCTGTGGTCACATGTAATGATGCTGGGATCCAGGTAATAGAAGAAGCATTCTTATTGCTCCTTCCTCTTCGTTGGCTGACTGTAGATCATTTGCACATCAAATGCAGATAACGTTTCCAAGTTTGGCATAGCCGCGGCTCTTTTGGGTAATGAAGATTAGGTTACAGTGCCCCCTATATCAAAAGGGCCAAACCTAGCTAGAAATTCCTAAAGAGAGACTAGGTTCAAGGAAATGTCTCATTTTAGTTAAAATGTGGTCTGCTTCATCTGGGAGGCTTTGTTAAGCTTCTGTCTGAGATAGATCATCTCTCAGTCCAGACAAGGGCTTCGTTTTTACAACAAATATTGAGAAAATGTGGGGGAAGAGAAACTCACAAGCTCAACTGGTTGTCAAAGACCTCTTTAAATAGTTTTACAGATGAGTAAGTTGCAGATCCAGACAGCAGACTTTTAAATCATCATAAAGTTGACACAAACTGATCCTACTCATAATTGAGTATGGTTTTTGTTTTTTTGTTCTGTTTATTACTTTAAGGCTCCTGACAATTACAAATAGTTTGCATTTAGTCTCAATTGTGTTCTGAGCTGATTGCATTGTCACAATCCATTTATCTCAACCTCGTAGCAGGGTCTTACATTTTTTTAACCCCCATTCTGTTCCTGAAAATTTCTAGCAGACTAGCCTGCTAGACAGCCTACAAAAAGGGCTACTTAACATTCTCTTGTTGTTTGGGATGTGGTAGCTTTTGAACCAACGTAGTTAAGAGTAGTAACCCCAGCAGTAGCATACAGATAGGGAGATCTTAACAAATTTTCTCTACCTTGCAGGAAATGTCTTAAAGGACCCATTTCTATCCAAGTTATTTTGAAGTGTGCCAATACTGTGCAATATGAAAATAGCTTTTTTTAAAGTATTCATCTACAATGGGATTATTATTTTTTTAAATAAATGAACAAGAAAACACCCACCGTTGTTCATTTTCTGTTGTGTACAGACTTAAACTCAAGATAATTTTGTTCAAAGATCCAAACAGCTACTACAACGAAACAATCTGGTTTGCCAGAAAACTGTAGATCACATTGTTTCTCTAGCGAGAACAAAATGTTCATGTGTCCTGGTAACTGTATGTACTTTTACGACCCTTAATCAAAATAATTAGGATCAATGTGATACGTGGAACTGTTAGGCTTTTCAGAAGACATATTCTGCAATCTTTCTAAGGTCTATTCAAAAGCAGTTCTCAGACCTCACACAGTTGATCATAACTGGGATTTCATTGAGGATTTAAACAAGTAACTTCAAGTAAACTACTGATTGCAAAGGATGCCTTGGGAATGTAACCCAGTTTGCTGCTTTGTCCCGCTGCATGAAAACAAATTGTCAGATGTAAGTTCAGACAATTTACTCTGGTGACTGTTAGGATACTAATTTATTAGCTTAAGAAAGGCAGGAGTTCATGGCAAGTGGCTTGGGAGTTACATGCAAACATTAGGATACTTATATGGCCCACGTAAGACTCCCCAATTTTGTTTTATTTTTAAATCATGTTCCTAGCACTTCTCATGTAATTTCACAACCACTTCTTTGGGGATTCACTTTTGAATAAGCGTTATAGCATCATGCTGCCTGTTTGCCGATGGGGTAGAGGAATCAGAAAAAGAAGGCATGTTAAAACCAAAGTCCAAACTAAATATTAATAAGGATTGATAATGATTGTGTAAACATATTTCACAGGCTACATCAAATTCTTAATTGATGGAAACAATTTCAAAATGTGCTCCGAAAGGATCTCTTCTATTGTTGGAGAAGCATATTATTGCCAATCTACATGTGTTAAAAATATGTTAATTACATGCAACTGTGTATATGAAATAGGTGGCATTTGTAGATCAACATGATGGCTGAATATGGGCTTAGTAGTAAATAAATTCAAAGAGTTTGCAAAAAGCGTCCACCCCGAAGGAACACAACACAGTCTATCAATACTTTCTGTGTCACTTTGGGGGAAAAAAACCCGCCCACCTCTCCCTAATTTTAGGGCATTTTGCGCTTGACCTTGCTATGCCATCGTGTGTCGTCTGTCGTTGGGACAGGGGCACAGCAGGAATTTTCCCCACTTGGCTGATTGACTGTTGCCATTGGGTTTCATCACAACTTGTAAGGTTGTGGATAGGCACTGGTTCATGTGATAGGGATGGGAGAACGGTTTCGCCATCTCTGTGTGAAGGGTATTCCGTTAAAGAAATCCAGGGACTCAACTTGGTTTGGTCAACCCCTGAAAGGGGGTTGTGCCCGTGCCTGAGTCCAGGGGGGCATCTGGGGAGTGAACAGAGTCTGTTCCCAGGTTTTTCATCTGCCTCAGGTGTTCACCCCTGGCTGACCTATGATAGAGCTCTGGGTCAGCGCTACCTGCAAGGGTGTACAGAGCTAGTTGAATCAGAGCCTATGTAACCACTCATTTTTCTGTAATCAAAAAAGTTGCGGCCTAAATTCTGCCAAAAACCAAAACTATAATTTGAGTCAAATGTGTCTTTATTTAAGGGGGAGGTCAGTGTGGTGTAGTGGTTAAGAGCAGTGGACTTGTAATCTGGTGAACCGGGTTCGCTTCCCCGCTCCTCCACATGCAGCTGCTGGGTGACCTTGGGCTAGTCACACTTCTTTGAAGTCTCTCAGCCCCACTCACACCTCACAGAGTGTCTGTTGTGGGGGAGGAAGGGAAAGGAGATTGTTAGCCGCTTTGAGAGTCCTTCGGGTAGTGATAAAGTGGGATATCAAATCCAAACTCCTCCTCCTCCTCCTCCTCCTCCTCCGCCGCTGCTGCTGCTGCTGCTGCTGCTGCTGCTGCTGCTGCTTCTTCTTCTTCTTCTTCTTCTTCTTCTTCTTCTTCTTCTTCTTCTCCTCTTCTTCTTCTTCTTCTCTGGGTGTGAACACGCAACATATATTCTTACTGTTTGCATCTGATGCACGGAGTGTTCTGTCAAATAATTGTTCTCCTATTTGATCTAGAGATTGCTGTAGAATGCAGGGCAGAAGGCTGCTTTCAACATTAGCAGGCACCAAAGCTTTAAGAATTATAAAGCAAAATCTGAAAAACTTAAGAAACAATGATTTGTGTGCATGTAAAATTTGCTGGTGGAGATATACGTGCAGAGAGATTCCATTTTAAATGTCATAGATATTTCCTTACTGGGATATAACACTCTTCCACTCCTCTTAATTTTTTTAATTAAGTATAAATGTTAGAAGAGGAGCAACCTACTCAGTAGACAATGCTCTAGTACGTCACCAGCATTGTCATAATGATGCATTAATGTAATGGATCATCAGAGACTTGTCAGAGAGATTTATTACCCCCCAAATACTTCAAGGAGGTAGGAAAGTATCAAGAATGGAGTTGACTGACTGTTTATTTTGCTAAACTAAGGACTTTTAAAGTAAGCTTAAAAACCCTTTTTTCACTTCAGGAAATAGCTGAAAGGAAAGGACCCCAGACCAAAAAAAGAAAAGAAAAGGGGTTTAAGTCAACAACATGATGAGGACTCAGGAGGCATCATAAATGCCTCGAAAGATATCCTACTTGATGCAACAGAGTTTACATAAGGTCTCTGAAGCACAGAGTTTTATACAAAACACATTCAATGTTTCCAATGAATATTTTAAAAGTTAAATTTAACAAATGTTAACTGGGTTTCTCTGTGTATTTATTTCTAAAAATGAACTGGTTATACTTAGTTACGAAAAGCAATACAGAGATAAGTGGAAGAGATACCGCTGGCCATTGTAAATAATCTTTCACAGCCTTATGTATACTTGCATTCAGCATCTCAGAATACTCCCTTGCTGGATAAAGTTTGTTTATACGTTATACATCTGCTTTGTAGTACGTTTGGTTTGGTACAGATCCGGTCTTGTGCCAGTATTTAGCCTTTGATAGAGTCAACCATCTGCTCTGGGCTGCATTACCAAGCAACTCAACTCCGAGAAGACCTGGTCCCAGCATGTCAGAAGCTTCTGCCAGCCTCACAGCATCCATGAGCACCTCTTAACTGTTTTGCACCCTCTTGAGCTCTCTCTTCAAAGTTCTTTTCAACTTTCCCTTACGGCTTTTGGTTTGGTACAGTTCATAAGATGTACATCAGAGCGTCCACACACCTTCAAAAAGTCACACATTTCTAACCATTAACAACCCCAGGGATTTGCAACTGATAAGAGCCCGCACATGTTGGACTCTACAAAAAAATGTAATGTCAAAACGAAAAAGAAAAGAAAGAAGTTGCTTAGTGTGTATCATTGAAGTAGGAAAGTGTGTACGGATAGGGCGGAAGAGAACAGGATGAGGGACACAGATTGCAGCACACTGTGTACACACCTAACTTAAGCAGGCAAATAAATAAATTGGACTGTGCATAGCAGGGACCCGGATCCTTGTACATATGTGAGCATTCTCACATGACAGACAACACAGGCCTTAAAGCAAAGATCCCCTGAGAGAGTTGGAGGAAAGAGAAAGAGGGACACCCCACTGCAAACTGCCTTTGGTATGAGCCAAGAAATTGGTCTAAATCACAGAGCCTAGGGCTTGCTGATCAGAAGGTCGGCGGTTCGAATCCCCGCGACAGGGTGAGCTCCCGTTGCTCGGTCCCTGCTCCTGCCAACCTAGCAGTTCGAAAGCACGTCAAGTGCAAGTAGATAACTACTCCCGCTCCAGCGGGAAGGTAAATGGCATTTCCGTGCACTGCTCTGGTTCACCAGAAGCGGCTTAGTCATGTTGGCCACATGACCTCGAAAAACTGTCTGCGGACAAACGCCGGCTCCCTCGGCCTGTAAAGCGAGATGACCGCCACAACCTCAGAGTCGGTCACGACTGGACCCAACAGCCAGAGGTCCCTTTACCTTTTCCTAGCCAGGAAGGTAGGGCTCCACTTTGTTCTCAGTCCAAATAACAAAGAAGTGCTTCTGGCGGGGTTTTCTTCTAAATCTGAGCAACCCTTTTAGCCTTTTGCTTTTTAAGGGGTAGGGGAAAAAATCCGAATGACTGATTCTCACACTGAAACTCCTTTTACTTTGCTGAAGAAGCAGCCCCAGTGCAGAGAAGAAGAAGGAAAAAATGCCACATCAATCCCAACCGTTCAACATTAAACAGTTCAGTGTTAACATGAAACATAGCCAGTGAGCAGTCGAAATGGAGATGGGGGCAAGCGACAGATGAGAGCTGAAAGTAAATATGGGCCCAGGGCATGGTCCAAAGGCACAGCAGGCACCAACTCTGCTAAAGCTAAGCAGGTCTGTGTCTGGTTACTGCCTGCATGGAAGACTGCCTGGGGACCCTATGTAGACATGTGTGATTTCCCCCAGGAAGGCAGGATATAAATTTTGCGTTAAATAGTATGCTAGACACAGTTGCCCATGGTGTGTACATTCATCCCAATATCAAATGTGGAGTGTTCAGGCGCGTGAGTGAGGTGAACACATTGTGCAGCGTATATAGCTGCCACAGAATTTTGGCCACCCCTGCTGCCACCCTGGTCATGCTGCTCCCCATCCCAAAATTTGAGGCAGCAGCAGAAAGGGATGCTCCCTCCCTTTAGAAAGAATTAATGGATGGGGTCAAGCAGCTGAGTGCAAGGCCCATTGAAGCATCACTCAAAGTTCCAGGCACACAACGAAGATGGCAGGCACAGCTGGGACCTCAGCCAGCACTTCAATGAACATTGTGCCTGGTCTCATGATCCTGGCTCTAGATATTTTTTAAATATTTGGGGGGAAGGGGCGTTGCACCCCATGCCAAGAGGTGAGACGGCGGCCATTTTCTGCTGTGTTCCCAACCTTGGTTTGTCATAAAAATGCTTAGTCAAGCATTTTGAACGGAACAAATTCATACACCAAAGCAAATAATCACATATTTTGGCCCTTTGAGGGTATCTGATGTGCTACTTTCTCCAGCAGACCCAAGTTGGACTAATTTCATAGCAATTTCATATTTGATAACGATGATCAGAACCACATTTGCCTAAAGAGGAATGGTCCCACCGTTCACAGTTCCTTATTTTCATTCTCAATCAACCATGAAAATTTCAATAGGGTGTAAGAGCTGACAGTTTTTGAGTTCCATTTTATGTCCAGTATTTCTATGCTGAAGGTTTGAGATCTAGGTAGTTTTCCTACATATTTAACAAGCACCAGCTGGTTTTAAAGCCCAGGTCAGTGGACCGGCCCATTGTTCAAGTTTTCAAAGGGATATCAATTAAGTTGACAACATTTTACAATGGCCAGGGATCTAAAGAACTATTTTAGGTGTGCCCAAGGGCATTTTAAAAACCTTTTCTCACAGCAAGCTCCTATGCCATATCACAGAGTGTTTTCAAAAACCAGGAAAAAACCCCAGGATCAATAACAGCTGCATTACAAAGACAAACAGAATAAAAAAAAAACCAGCTGCACAGGTGGATTTGGTTGCCAATGTCCTATGAGGAAACTATCAAGTGAAAACTTTTAATGCTCAATAATAATAAAAATTATAAAAATATTGGGAAACATTTTCTGCAGGAGCACATCAAAACAGAAGAGGTCATTTTGAAAGCCCACTCAGTTTCAAAAGAGGTGTGCTATGTGGTATAGAAAGCTGCTTTTAAAAAAAGGAACATAAGCTTAAAGCCCCATTTGACGTGCAAAACTAATTGTTCAGCCATTTGAATCTTGGTTCATAGTAGTAGTAGTAATGTCCATTGAACCATTTCTACTAAGAAGGAACCCCCATTGAATTTAATGGGGCTTACTACCACAAATGTGGGGTTAGGGTTGCTGTGTTAGTTTTGTTTCAAAATTCTTAGACGTGTGCTGCAGGGGTCAAAGTACTGTTACCAATCTTGATGCAATATTTTCTGGAAAGCTTTCCTAAAGCAAAGCAAATACATTCAGAACCAGGATCACTGAGATTTTTGCACTTAGTAAAGGGCTTGTCTGGTTAAGTAAGTTATGTGAAACCCAAAACAGCCCTGTTTTTCAAGGTATACTTCATTGTTCCAGCTTATTTGTTCGCCGCCACCTGTCTCCCACACATTACGGCACCGAGTGCGCGTTTCAAAACAAAAGTAATAACACAATTGTCTCACACCACACATATTCCCAGTGGAAATTAAAATGCATGCTTTTTCTCATCATTCTTTATTTAACAACTGGGAGGGTTTTAATATTCGAAACTCAGCAAGAAAATTGTCAGGAAACACAGAGATGCCTTTTGAGATTTCAAATTCCACTTTCATTGTTTTCCTTTCATTTTAGGTGAGTGTTTGTTTTCCAGCCAAGTGACTGTATCCTGTGATGGAATGATGGCTAATGGGATTTTCTGCGATGATTTCTCAGTCAATTATAGCACTAGAAGACCTATGCAGATGGATATGAAATCATCCCCAATGAAATCATCCCTGTTTCTAATTGCAGGAAGAACAAAAACAACAAAAAAAACCCAAAACCATCTAGCCAGGGGTCCTACACATGTGAAAGAAGGCTTGAGGAAGATGAACTGGAAACCTACACATGCAACCGGTGTAGTATATATGGAACCCCCCTCTCCTCAAATCCAGCTTCTAGGACCAGCTTCTAGGCCTTTTAGAAAATCAACAACAAGGCCAGTTACCTTTTAAGGAAGGAGAACAGAGAGGAACTGAATTTGGCTTTTCTTCCTATTCCTCTTTTCTCTACGAACTGTTGAGCAACACAGTTCACACATGCACAGATAGATCAGGGCCTACATCTTTTGCCAGGCTTATTGTTACGGAGCACATTTCAGATCTATTTCTCTATCATATAAGGGTGCTTCAAGTGCTTCATTTCTCCCCTTGCACATATAAGGAAGCAGCTATATCCAGAGATGTTTTGTATAACATTGCTAATATGAGGCCCATAAATGTGAAGAACCGAAGACAGGAAAAATGAGAAACAGAGATGAAACTGGAACTGGGATATTTCTCCATCACTAGCATAGTTCCCCTCTGAATTAAGACTTGTGTGCACATACTGTAGGCTTCCCAAACATTTGTGAGTGTAATATAACATTACAGATAAACTCGCTCTGTGGTGATAAATTCACTCTACTGTAATTAAAAACAACACTTTTACCCAGAATAAACACCAACATTCTTTGTTACAAAATTGTTGCTGCGCCATACACCGCTCTGTTTTAATTTAGAGAGCATTCGCTGCTGATTCTTTTAAAAAAAGCAATAACTTTTCAACTTTTTTTTATAAAAATAACCTGCTGAAATTTCAGAATGAAAGAAAATTCAGTCTGTGATTTCAGGATGTTTTGTGCAACAGCAGGGGTGATGGGAATGAAGCAAGACCATGTTTTAAAAGTGCACTGTTTGTGCGGTACATTAAAATGTGTACTGCATTTGCTAAAATGACACATGGGGGGGGGCGAAGCAACTGTGGAGTTAGTTCATGCAGTTCTGAGATATAAGTCATCGAGAATTCAGGCCATATCTTCCAGAGTGAATCATCTCTTGTCTGCATGGAAGATGGCATGCATAACCTGTTTACTGAAAGCTTTATCACCGAGGAAATACAATTCTAAGCATCATCATGTTGAGCACCTTTAACATTTGCAATTCCCTTGAAAAAAAAACCACAGTAAGTAAGTCCATAGATGTAAATAGAAATAAGAGAGTTGTATTGCCTTCCTTATGCGAATATTATGGCACACATGTCAACAGTTGTGTGTGGGAAGCCAGTTTAAAAATGAGCTATTGATGATTCAGAGTCAAATTTATTAATAAAAGCGCAGCACAAGGGCAATTTATGACACACACACACACACACACACACACCCTGCTGGAAGGTTAAGTCCCGAAGATGCTCCCCTGGTCTTTTACTTCTTGCACAATGCCCTATGGGTTTTTCTGAAAGCGTAGGATGCTAACACAAAAGGGGTGGGCCCTATTTCTGTTGTCGGGTGGTGCTGTGGTCTAAAGCACAGAGCCTAGGGCTTGCCGATCAGAAGGTCAGCGGTTCGAATCCCCGCGACGGGGTGAGCTCCCGTTGTTCGGTCCCTGATCCTGCCAACCTAGCAGTTTGAAAGCACGTCAAAGTGCAAGTAGATAAATAGGTACTGCTCTGGCGGGAAGGTAAACGGCGTTTCCGTGCGCTGCTCTGGTTTGCCAGAAGCGGCTTAGTCATGCTGGCCACATGACCCGGAAGCTGTCTGCAGACAAAACCAGCTCCCTTGGCCAATAAAGCGAGATACGCACGCAACCCCAGAGTCGTCCGTGACTAGACCTAGATCAGAAGTACCTTTATCTTTATGGGAATAATGCACTTGAAGCATTTATCAGGCACAGGATTCAGCTGCAGCAGCTAAAGTCTGTCCACAGGATCAGGCTGTATATCAGATGCAGCTTATCAAATGCACATTGTTTTTTACTAGAACCCCAAGAACTACCAACTAGAAAGTGGATACAGAGTTTTCCTCTCCCTGTCTCAGTCACATTGAATTCAATGGCACTTACTTTCAAGTACCGTATTTTTTGCTCTATAACACGCACCCGACCATAACACGCACGTAGTTTTTAGAGGAGGAAAATCCGTAGGCATGCCACCCATAGGCATTCCCTCCATAACACGCACAGACATTTCCCCTTACTTTCTAGGAGGAAAAAAGTGAGTGTTATGGTGCAAAAAATACGGTAAGTGTTATAGGTCTGCAACCTATTTTTTTCCCCTTTGAGCATATGATGGAAAATGTTGGCTTTTGAGTCTTCTAACACCACTATCACTGTCAAACCACCCCTTTCCTCCTAGGCCTTTCTCATAAAAAATCTGATGTTCTATTTCATTATATATTCCTGTTACTAAAATGTCATTAACCAAGTGGTGTATTAACTGATGATGTTAAGCTGGTTAGTGGGAGAATGTAAGTGTCACTTTGATGACATAAAGTGGCTGTTATGATTATATAATATCAATTATTCCTTCAGAAATTGCATTAGTTCTGAACCAGTGTAGTTGGAGGGAGGTTAATCCCCCCACAAGGCGTTTGTCTAATATTTATTATTAACAGTAAAATCTATTTTGGATTAAACCTAGATTTTTAATAACTTTAATAACTTTTAATAACTTTTCACCCTTGGAAACACTATACCTGCCTCTCAGTTCCTCTGGTTGCTGTCACATCAGAGGAGAGTGTCTTCCTCACTTTACTGCTTCTACAGAATCGAGGTTTATGGGCTGCATATTTGAAGAAACAATAAACACATTTTAAAGAGCAAATCAAATTTAGAAGTACTAGACACTCCACGAAAGCCTTGTACATAGTTTTTACAATTTCTTTTATCTGAAGCGCTTAAACTTTGTGAAATACTCAACCTGTTTCAAAATGTTTTCCCCCACCGCCTTACTGAGACACAGGGACCGAGAGGATGTGAAAGGGTGCGGAGTCAGGTCGTGTGAGGAGATTTTATTAGCTATACACAGGGTGACACAGAAACTCCAGAAAATGGGGCAAATCAAATAAATAAATAAAGAGTAAAAAATTCTTCCGAAAGCAAAGTGGAAACGCAAGTTTTGATTCTGTTTTATAAACAAATATGTGATCATTAAAAAATAAACTTGGGATGGAGGTATTGCCAATCTCGGTCCTCTCAGCTCCTCTTTCATCCAACCTTAAATTCCATATTTCTGCAGCGATTTATACTTAAAAAACAACAACTGAATCCTCTTGAAAATTCAGCATTTAGTGCAACATTCAAAGGATAGCGTGTTTGCTTCACTTTTTGTTTCAGAAAGTGTGAATTTTACAGATTCACCTTTAAATATGAACTGAATCAAACCCCCCCCATCCCTACTGAAAAACAAATAAACAGGACAGTCCTAGAGTTGTATACTTACAGACAAGCCCCTCAGACTTCAGTGGGACTTACGTCCAGGTAAAAGTGCATAGAATTAAAGCCAAAATCTCTCAAAGAGTTCTTTTCAAATGTAAGCCTATTTAAAACATGGGTGGGCAAACTAAGGCCCGGGGGCCGGATCCGCCCCAATCGCCTTCTAAATCCGGCCTGCGGACGGTCCGGGAATCAGCGTGTTTTTACATGAGTAGAATGTGTGATTTTATTTAAAATGCATCTCTGGGTCATTTGTGGGGCATAGGAATTTGTTCACCCCCCCAAAAAAAGTATAGTCTGTCTGCCCCCCCAAGATCTGAGGGACAGTGGACCAGCCCCCTGCTGAGAAAGTTTGCTGACCCGATTTAAAATAATCCACACAATCATACAATTTTCAAAGCTATGTTGTAATCAATAAGGTCTCTTTCACAAGGAAAGGTTTTAATGAGTATTGTTACAGACCCACTCCTAAACCAGCCATGTTGTGATGGCATCCACAGCACTGTTATCAAGATATGTACACCAGTACCTCATTTAAAAACAAGAAACCAACCCCTCCCAAAAAAAACCCCAGAAAAAGGATTGCCTTAAACTATGACATTTTGTGATCCTTGTGTACATCAAGGAACCATCTGTCATGGAGCTCAGCCCAGTTCCACCATGTTTTCATGATGAATGCAAACATTTAAAAATACACATGCATTTCAAACCTCACCATTTTAATCAGCACACAGCACAGGTCTACGGGAGAGGCTTGTGAAAAATCGTACCGGGACAAGTGACCCCACCATATATGTTCACGTCAGATCACAACAATATTCCCAAAGAATTCCATATTGGCATCAACTTAATGAATTACTAGTTTATAATAATAAATCTTTCTGGAATTAATTACAATGGGAAGGAATTGCAATAAATAATTACCATCGTGGATGTCTGTGGTGTAGGAAACACATCAGGCTTTCATTTTCTAAAATGTCTTTGATGATTGATTGATTGTCGCATTGTTTTAGGAAGGAAGTACTTGATTTTGGTTGAATTGCAGTTTTCATGTTGAATTTCCTATCATACATTTTTAGCAAGTTAAATGTTGATCACTAGAAAGCAAGAAGAATCCTTTTAAGAATATGAAGCCACATGAACCAAACCCCTGCAGTTGAGGTTCCATGCAAAGCGGAGCAAGAAGTCAATAAAAGCAGGAGTTGGAAACCTCGGCCCTGGGACCCAAATGTCACCTGGCCTCGGGACTCTAGCCAGAGCATGACTTACCTGGCCTGCTGTGCCCCTGGCTTGAGTGAGTTCACCAAACTCACTCCTTGAGCTGCGATGTCTCTATCATACTTGGATGGAGCACAGAGAGAAATGTTGGATAACCTATAAAATAATTAGAATTGTATGCCTTTAACGGATCAATCAATTAAATAACTATAATTAAATGGCTCCCAACATGAGTTTGACCAAACTGAGGGAGGCACTGGAAGACACGAGTACCTGGCGTGCTCTGGTCCATGGGGTCACGAAGAGTCGGACACAACTAAATGACTCAACAACAACAACAAAATTAAATGAATAACATATTACCCAAACTTCAATATAGGCACCTTCTTAAAATAGCTTGACATTCTGGAAACAAACTTAGTTGGTCTCTAAGGTGCTACTTAGGGATGCAGGTGGCGCTGTGGGTTAAACCACAGAGCCTAGGTCTTGCTGATCAGAGGGTCGGCGGTTCGAATCCCTGTGATGGGGTTCGAAAACACATCAAAGTGCAAGTAGATAAATAGGTACCGCTCAGGCAGGAAGGTAAACGGCGTTTCCGTGCGCTGCTCTGGTTCGCCAGAAGCGGCTTAGTCATGCTGGCCACATGACCCGGAAGCTGTATGCCAGCTCCCTCGGCCAATAAAGCGAGATGAGCGCCGCAACCCCAGAGTCGGTCACGACTGGACCTAATGGTCAGGGGTCCCTTTACCCTTTACCTTTTAAGGTGCAACTGGACAATTTTTTTTATTTATTTAACCTAGGCTTCCTCAACCTTAGCCCTCCAGATGTTTTTGGCCTACAACTCCCATGATCCCTAGCTAGCAGGACCAGTGGTCAGGGATGATGGGGATTGTAGTCTCAAAACATCTGGAGGGCCAAGGTTGAGGAAGCCTGATTTAGCCAAAAGCTGTTATCTTGGCACAATGGTCACATTCTTTGTCAAGTCACCTAAAGGATTCCAAATAGACCAAACAAAAAACCCCTCTTAGATCTGCCCAATCTTGTTTGCCCTCCTTTGTTAATATTAAGGTAAAGGTACCCCTGCCCGTACGGGCCAGTCGTGTCCGACTCTAGGGTTGTGCGCTCATCTCACTCTAGAGGCCGGGAGCCAGCGCTGTCCGGAGACACTTCCGGGTCACGTGGCCAGCGTGACGAAGCTGCTCTGGCGAGCCAGCACCAGCGCAGCACACAGAAACGCCGTTTACCTTCCCTTCCTTTACCTATTTATCTACTTGCACTTAGGGGTGCTTTCGAACTGCTAGGTGGGCAGGAGCTGGGACCGAAAGACGGGAGCTCACCCCGCCGCGGGGATTCAAACCGCCGACCATGCGATCAGCAAGCCCTAGGCGCTGAGGTTTTACCCACAGCGCCACCCGCGTCCCTAGTTGCTAATATTGGCAACCAGCAATTAAGGGTGCATGCCAATATTAAATTAGGTTTGCACAGTTAATTAAAGCACGCTTTTTACCTAGCACAACAAATCCACAAACTTAAAAACTTTAAAAGTGACTTTTTTTAGTGCTTATCCATCCACTTGGGCATGTTTTTTATCTATTGCAACATCTTTGACTTCTGTGGTGCTAATAAAAATAGTTCACTAGAAAAGAAAAATCCTTAGAAAATGGCATCCTGATTGGGAAAAGTTCAACAAAGCTTGGAAAGGACTGTATTACAGGTCAATTCATCTGCATCAATCGCATAACTAGGCAAAGAAAATGAGACACTGAATTACTGGAAGAAACGAAATGAACTAAAACAGGCATTCTGATTGTCTGAAAGAGGTGCTGGAATTGTATGGTATTGTGCAACAATTTGTTGTTTAGTCATGTCCGACTCTTCGTGACCCCCTGGACCAGAGCACGCCAGGCACTCCTGTCTTCCACTGCCTCCCGCAGTTTGATCAGACTCATGTTTGTGGCTTCAAGAACACTGTCCAACCATCTCGTCCTCTGTCGTCCCCTTCTCCTTGTGCCTTCAATCTTTCCCAACATCAGGGTCTTTTCCAGGGAGTCTTCTCTTCTCATGAGGTGGCCAAAGTATTGGAGCCTCAGCTTCAGGATCTGTCCTTCCCGTGAGCACTCAGGGCTGATTTCCTTCAAAATGGATAGGTTTGGTCTTCTTGCAGTCCATGGGATTCTCAAGAGTCTCCTCCAGCACCATAATTCAAAAGCATCAATTCTTCAACGATCAGCCTTCTTTATGGTTCAGCTCTCACTTCCATACATCACTACTGGGAAAACCATAGCTTTAACTATATGGACCTTCAACAATACTGCAAGAAATTTCTCAGACCATGTGAGAGAGATCAGAATTTGTGGGGTCCTCAAGCAAGCCTCTCTTACTGGTTGGCCTTAACTTGGAACAGACAGAGGCTGAAGACGCTCTCCCTCATCTTGCATGCTTCAGGTAAAGTGAAATGAGCCCCTTGAAGATCTTGGGGCTGCCATCCTTTCAAACTGATCCTGACACCAGTTTTCCCTTTCCTGCTAGTTGATTTATCAACATTCCATACTTTTTACCCCAGCTATTCTGCATGCACTCCATTGAACTGGGGTTTAGCAATAAGGATTCCTATTGGGTTTTTAAAAATGCTATTGCTTGTGATGGTACAGAAGTCCTACTTGTTTCCTCGCTACCAGATAGAAGGCGGGCATTTTTCGTTCTTTCTACAAATCAGCAAGTTGATCATCTTCAGTCTTTCAAACAGATCCTGAAATGAATCAGAGCCTGATATATTTTCATATAGATCCTGGAATCACTATGCATTCAAAATAAAAAGTTGCCTCTGTGTGCGATTGTAGTATTACTACGGCTTTAGATAAAGAAGTCCCAACATTCTGGATTGTAGATTATTATAATTGTCATCATACCCATCCATCCATATTCACGAAAAGTGTTGGAAGCCTGCACATTCATATTCATTTTAGTTCAACTTGACTTGAATCATAAAAGGAATGTGAAGACAGAGAGCCTGTTGCTGAAATAAAGTTGATTTTCTCTCCCTCTCCCTGAAACTTGGGTTCATGACAGCTTTTTGTTGAGTAGGACATTAGCCTTTTGTAATTTATTGCTTTTAGATTAAATCTGGGGAAACTCAATATTGCAGTTGAATGATTAGAGCAATACCCCTTGGAGTAATAAATTTTCTTTGGTGCTGTGCATCTCCCGATCTTGTTTCCCTTCTAATTACATTTACATAAATGATATTCTGCAAAATTAAATTAACATTCCAACTGTTACACAGGCAACAAGAGACAAAAATAACTTACAAACCTGCAACTCTTAAGAAAATGTTGAGGTCTTTTCATGAACTGAATCCCAGCCATCCCTGAAGAGACAACTACACAGCTGCACATTATTCTTAGTTAACAACCAATCTAGATGCTTTTGTTCTGGTTTTGGAGACCCTGTTGTTGCAGAATCCTGGTTCCCAGAAAGCCTTATTAAATAAAAGATGGGTGACATTCCAATCTTCATTAACGAGTGTTTGGATAGTACTAAATTTGCTGTAGGCTTTGGCCTATGTCCTCTTCTACACTTTTATCATTTGGCTCTTATAACGTGTACTTGTACACAACTTCATCGAGTTGCACATGAGTGTGGGGCTTTTTCCAGGGTGCTGAGGACACAATACTGTAAGAAGAGCTGATTCTCAAACCGAAGGGTATCCTTTCCCCTCCTTCTTAGAATGGTGCAAGATGCATAACCTAGATTACGGGGAAGAAATTTGGGTCTCAGGTTATTATTTCCCCAGTCATGGCAGCTCTAGAGGCAGGTGGTGGTGAGGTCAGCACCATACAGCAGGGGTCGGCAACCTCAGGCCCATGGGCTGGAAGTGGCCTACGAAGGCTGTTTAACCAGCCCCTGATCTGCCCCCGAACTGAGTCACCCAATCGGCGATTCCCCCGTGATGCGCTAAACTGGCACGGCGCAGCATGGGAACTCTCTTCTGCGGCTCTGGAAATCACTTCTGCGCATGCCCAGACACCGGAAATCGCGTCTTCACATGTCCACGGTGCCGGAAATCGCTTCTGTGCATGCCCAGACACCGAAAGTCGCTTCTGCGCAGGCATGATTTTCGGCATCTGGGCATGCGCAGAAGCGATTTCCAGTGTCGCGCTGCGCCAATCCAGCCCACAGAGGATCTCCACGGGAGTGATCCGGCCCATGCCCGGTAAGCTTTGCCAATCCCTGCCATACAGGCACACCGCTGCCAGCAGTTTTCCATGCAAGCATGCACTGATGACACCAGCAAGCTGCATAGGAGGTTGTTGACCATGTTCTTGCCCAGTTCTGACCTCACTGTCCCCTGCCTCTAAATATGATTCCTACCTGCCACATTCCTACCAGAGGATGAATATTTTCTTATGAATTTAGCTCACTCAGTTCTCTTTGGCCCTGTGGACATTTATTTTTGGCTTGGCTCAAAGCCCATGCTTGTTCTCTGTTTCCCCCCTACATTTTGGTGGCATGCTGATGGAAACAGCGTCGGCACGTTTACCTGTCCTAGTGTGGCTAGCAAGAAAATGCATCATTCATTCATTCATTCATTTACAAATCTAGAGACCTTTTGCCTGTACGCAAGCACACTTAAGCTGGCATATTACAATACAGTACACATTACCATAAGAAAACAGACTAAAAATAAAAGCAGCTACCAGCAATCAGCATTGGAAAACCCCTCAGGCACAGGCCCTAATTGCTGAATGTCACCTGGAATTAAACCAGTTTTTAGTATGGGCTTTAAAATGGGCAAATAAAGGCAAATATCTGCTGGAAGAATGTTCCATAATCTGGATGCCAGAGGTGTTAAGGCCTTGTCGCTTGTATACTTCAAAAGACTGGGTATAGCAAGACAAGATAAGACTCAAGCCTTGGGGCATTCTTGAGCTGGTTCATCTCAACCAGGCTTGTATTCTGGTTTCAAAGTTGAAATTAAATGCTTGGGCTATTTCAGATTTATCCTGCCTCACCTGCCCCTGTTGCTGTCTTACCCCTGTTAACCAAAGTGACATGGTTCCATTTGTATTTTTTTAGCTTGTCAATTGAACGACACATTTCATTGAACCATTTTGATTAGCTGGTCAAAACAAGACCTGTTACCAGCAGTTTCAGTTTACTGGAAGCAAAGTGACATTTAGCAGTGAACAGTTTCAGTTTGCCAATTAAAAAGCCCATGGCATTTTCAAATCAAAACCTATAGGAATCAGATCCCAAGGGCTGAAGAGAGAGCTACATGCGTTTGGCTTCTGAACTTCTTCTCAGACAAGCTGTTCACCCCACCCCCCCAAAAAAATATTCAGGGAACCTTAGAAATGGTCTCCAGTTACAGCACTGTAAACTGAATGATGAAGAATAAAAGAAAGAGGAAAACTCTGATGTTTGCATCTATGGGAGTCCTTTCGATCATAGATTCATATTTCCACCCACCTCCAATTTTGTTGCCAGAAGTTTCAACTTTACTGCTTTTCAGTGCAATTAGAGATGCAAAACGCCCTGACATTTCCCCTGGGAAGACTGATACTACATTTGAACAGAAACCTTTCTCTTACTAAAAAAAATACACGCCACCCCTATGAATTGCATTGTCTTTGTAGGCATTTGCCAGACCTAATGATCAAGCCAGCCTTTAACATGCAAGTGGGCAGGAAACGTTAGAGAGGCTGATAGAACTCCCCTCCCCCTAACTTATCTGCAAAGCCGTTCTTTGCCCTTATATAACCGCCTTGGCTATACTTAAGGATTAAATATAATAATTTTCAGCAACAGATGTTGGTGATCTCATCCAAGACCAAATGCCTTTTTAGACATTGTTTGGTTGTGCAACAACAAGCCAGAATTGTTGGCTTCAGATAAGTGAAAGCAAAATCTGTTTTCACTGGCGATAACTGAGCCCATTATCTATAAACATTCACATTTTGAAAACGGGATCAAAAGCTGCACAGGGACATGACTGTGTTAGGGAATGTGGTCTCCTCTTGCAAAAAAAGAAAAGGGGGGGGGGAGAGACGGCAAGTATGTTGAAAACTGGCAGCATCTGATTTCCACAGCAGTAGTCTAGTTGTTCAAAAAGCACCATTAATTGCATGGAGCCTCTGGATGGGGAATTAATAGACTGTTTGAGACACAAATATATGGCGAAAACATCTGCAAAGACATGACAGGGAACATCCTCTGAGGAATAAAGTCAAGGAGGCCCTTCAATATGGCAGCATCCCTCCCCCCCGCTTGTTTGAATGGATGGCTGACAGCTTCTAAAGGGCATCCCAGTCAAAAATCAATGTTGGAATGGATGGGGTTGGTATGGGTGGCTTAAGCCTAGCTCTTTCATCAGGGAAACAGGGCAGTTTCAGTATCCTTTGCAGGAAGAGTAGCCTCATAAGAAGTCACACACTTTCAAAATACTAGCAGAGAGAATTAGCCAGTGAGTATACCACCAGCAAATGGCATGGGGGGGGGAGCACAGTATTGCCCTTTCTGTATTAATAACTTTCTTACACAGTTGTGCTTGTGGATAAAGCAGATCATGCTTCTAGCACATACAAGAGATGTCGGTGGAAGTTTCTTCCCCGTGCGGCCACATCTGAATTCTGAAATGTGTATTAAATATGGCTGCTTCTGAAAGAGGAGTAAAAAAAATGTAGGCATGGGGTAATTTATTTTTTCCTTCAAGAGAAGAAGACAGAGCAAAACTTGACTGATGTGCAGTCTGCTCCTATTTTGTGGTGGTTTGGAAACGAGTCCTCTGGAATTTAATAAGGTTTACTCCAAAGTAAGCACACAGAGAACTGTAGCCTCAAACAGGGTTTGTTACAAATAAAAAAGGGAAATGGTTTTGTCAGCAGAGAAGACACAGAAATCAGACCAGCAAACGATAAGACAGTCTGGGGCAAGCTACACATTACACATCGTTTCAAGTAACTTTCCCTCAACTTTTTTTTTGTGAAACAGAAAACAAACAAAAAATGATTGTGGCATAATCAATCTTGAGCGGAGGATGGGCAGCAGGCAGGCCTGCTTAATTTTTTTGTGTAGTTCAAATTACTCCTTCAGGCTGCTTTTATCTCTATGGAGGAAAAATATTGGGATCGGTATCTTTTCTACACCAGGTGAAAAAGCTGCCTGGGGTGATTTGAAGCAGAAATATATCTGGTGTTGAAAGAGATACATTCTTTTCCCCATTTACTCTTTCTTTGCTCCTGGTTGCAACCTCCTGTGACTCTTTTTCTCACAAACCCCCCCCAAAAAGTCAGAGGAAATTTGCATTCAGTTGAATGTATATAACATGTAGTTCAACCCTCTGGCCAATGTATTTCACACACAACAACAAATATGGCAAGTTTGAGAAAACTGATTTCTGTGAATACAGTGAAAACTAACCTCATTTGTCTACTTCTCCTGAACTTATGTGCAGATTGCAGCACAATTATTCTTGGGATTTAGCACTTTTCAAAATGTTGACAGTTCTTCGCTGAAAAAAAGGTACTAAAATCCACTTTATAAAATGTGTACTTTTGGATAAAATTCATCTAGAAATGTGTGCCTTGAGATAAAATATGTACTTAAAATATAGATTTTAAGATCCACAGATTAATGTGTGGTAATGGGTTGGAATGGACTTTCTGAATGAAGTTGAAATTGACACAAACTAAAAATTGATACTGAACTGCATATCCAGAGATTTCACTTATCTATGCCAGTCAAAGCTAATCAGGATTAAATCAGGGTAGACTTTTCCTGTCCTTAATTTAGATTATAGATGTGCAGAGCTGAAAGGAAAGCAAATGAACACTTAGACCAAAACTCCTTTCCCAAGATAGATTGTGTGAGTCTTTCAGAGACACTCGCCCAAAGCTACTGGAAGCTGTGCTCCACGCCCAGTCCACATGAGACTGCATCGCTGGGGGTGGTTGGCCCAGTCAAGATGCAAATGGGGGCAGAATTTCACCCACATCTTGAATCCTGCATGGACTCATGGGAAGAAGTCTCAGTGAGATTTGTGACTATTTCGTCAGGCAGAATAAAGGGCAGAAGCAACATATAGTCAAGGAGGCCCCCATAAGGGGCCTGAGGGGAGGATTGGTGATTACATCCCCAAGCTCACGTTGGGGTCTCTGCCTGGCCAGAGAAACCTGTTGACTCTACGGGTTTGGTGTAGTCCAGCCACAGCAGATCCTATTCCACCTCCATGGGCGAGTGGAATGATGAATTGATCCTTGCCCTACTGCCATGCCAACCCTTGACCTGCCTGCTGCAGTAAATAAATATTTGGACTGATTTTATTACAACACCTGGTGTACCGCTGGGTCATTTGCTGCTCTTCTGGGTCACAGAATGTGCCTGCTTGGGCAATAGTGAGAGCTATACATCCTATTTCAGAAGGTAGATGTTTTGTTTTGTTTTGTTTTGTTTTGTTTATTCCACCCAAAAGGCTACAAGATTAGTATTAAGGCAGCCTGTGCCCTGTGGTTCACAATCTAAAAGGCATGATGCTCAAAAAAAAGGGAAGGCTTTTGGTTCTGAGGATTTCCTACTATTGGGTGATTCATCCATTTGTATTCTAAAGTGGTACAGTCTCAAAAGAACTGCAGGCATTTAGAAGAATATGCTGAACACTCTGAAAATGGCTACAAGTCCAGAATAGACTGCTGCTTCCTTATTCAGGAAACAAAATCTAATGAATGCTTATGTGGGAGGCTCTTACTACCTGCTTAGTTAGAGTGCAGTACTATTATCAATCTGTCTCTTGGCTAGAAGAACAGTATTTATTGTGATTTGCTGTAATAATCATGATTAATACAGCCTTTTCTTAAAATTGTTTTGCTTTCCATTATGCAAACTCAGCTTTTCTTCAGGAGAGCAGTGATGCTGGCTTTAATTAAATTTGGGAAAGGAGAGCCTGACTAATTTTAAGATTATTAGGAAAGAACCCCATCTATACTTGGAGCATAAAATTTGAAAACCGGAGGAATAACATTACAACACTCTCTAAACCAATACGCCAGGGGAAATGTTAAGTTTTAATTGAGTGCATATAATCTGCTTTCAAATTACACAATTCTTCTGAAAGCAGAGGGGTTTATGCAAACCACAGGTGCTGAGATCTTTCCCTTTATCATCCCCATTAATTTCTGAGTAATCGTACTGTTTGTACAAATCACAAAGCCTTTCTGCTCAAGAACATAAGAAGCCAATGGGCCCATCTAGCCTAGCACTCTCAGTGGCCAACCAGATTGGCCAATCAGATTGGCATGAACTGGGAATCAGATTGGCAGACTGGCAGTGCACAAGCATAAACTGAGCACAATAGCACCCTCCTAGCCATTGTGAAAGGGACGTGGGTGGCGCTGTGGGTAAATCCTCAGCGCCTAGGGCTTGCCGATTGCATGGTCGGCGGTTCGAATCCCCGCGGTGGGGTGAGCTCCCGTCTTCGGTCCCAGCTCCTGCCCACCTAGCAGTTCAAAAGCACCCCTAAAAGTGCAAGTAGATAAATAGGTACCGCTTTCTAGCGGGAAGGTAAACGGCGTTTCCGTGTGCTGTGCTGGTGCTGGCTCGCCAGAGCAGCTTCGTCACGCTGGCCACGTGACCCGGAAGTGTCTCCAGACAGCGCTGGCCCCCGGCCTCTTAAGTGAGATGGGCGCACAACTCTAGAGTCGGACATGACTGGCCTTCGGGCAGGGGTACCTTAGTCATTGTGAAAAAGAGTGACAATGCTCCTGCTGATGGTTAGTTAAGATGGAAGTTAAGAAATGTACCAAACTGAGACAAATCAGACAGCAAACTTTGCTCCTCCAATACAATTAAGCAGAAACTAACATGAAATATTAACATATCTCCTGGAATCTTAACTCCTATTCCACATTGCCATCACAGTCTTCCTCCTCGACCTGATCTACAGTTAAGTATTTCTAAACTGTTTTGCAGACTTCATGTGTAGAGGTCATGCATAGAGGGCACCTGAACAGATTCAGCCTTTCAGTACAGTCATACCTCGGGTTTAATGTGCTTTGGGATGAGCGCGTTCGAGTTGCGAACCCGGAAGTAACGGAACGCGTTACTTCCAGGTTTTGCCTCTTGCGCATGCGCTCAAAATGACATAATGCGCATGCACATAAGCGGCGAGAAGCGATGCGTGCATGCACAGACGTGCCGCCGCTGGTTATGTTTGCTTCTAGATGCAAACGGGCCTCCAGAATGGATCTTGTTCGCATCTAGAGGTACCACTGTACTCAGCACATTGTGGCAGCTAAGTCCACCGTTATCCTTATGATGGGTATGCATGCCTACAAATAATGAAGGCAAAAGAAAGATAAAATAATTGAAGAGATTCATGACCTGTCTGACTAATTATTGTTAAGTAGACTGCTGGCATAGATAGATAGATAGATAGATAGATAGATGATAGATAGATGATAGACAGATAGATAGCCATTTCCCTGGATACAAAGATTCAAGAAACCCAGCAGAGAATTAAAGTCACAAAATATGCAGCACAGTAAAGCATAGAAATATAGGCTGTTAGACCTTTAAAATATGCTCTTCCAAGTGAGATCCAAAATTTCCCTCTTCCCCCAACAAAGGAAAAGACTGCATATTTGGTAATTAAAAACTGGGTTACTTACAAACGCTTCAAAGTTCAGGTTTATGTGTTTCAGTAAAGTTGACAAGCAGTAAAACTTAGCTTAGTTACTTTTACCAATGTGGTAAAAGTTCCTTTTGGTATAGGAACACAAAAGTGGCTGTTGAGAGCCATGTGACTGTATTAAGTACTTAATACTTAAGCAACGAGTCAAGAAAAACCTGATTTTTGCAACAGTACTAAAACTGGATTCAAGTTACAATCCTGTAGTCCCTGGGCCACTGAATTTTCCTGTGGGGCCACTGAATTTTCCTGATCTCCCAATGCATCCAACAGAAAGGAAGTTTCATCCTCAGAAGCTTTCTCCTGGGTGCTGTGAAAAGATTTGCTTCCAAATCAATGGGAAGGAAAATCTAAAATAATAATAATAATAATAATGAAGGGGGGGATGGGAAATTTCAGCTTCCCCACTTTATGTTTTACTGGTTTGATCCCCGTAGGGCTTTGAATTTGGCAGTTCCACCATCTTCAGCTCATCCACCTTCCGCTTTGGATGGTCTGCTTATTGGGATCTTAATATGTATTTATTTATGACATTTCTATACAGCAGTGCCCACTTAACCACATCCTCTGGACAGTTCATATGTTAAAAACAGTCAAAAGCAAATGCAGGCAACTGAACAAGTTAAGCAATCAGTATGAAATCAGCACCTGTACAGAAAAGCAGCACAAGGCCTGGTAGATTAAAAAGTTCTTTGTCTGGTATTGAAAGGGCATAATGGTTCATACCCAAATGTGGGGAAGGTATTGCAAAGGAGGAATGCCACCACTGAGAAGACTCTCTTCTTTCTGCTTTTCATCAAACCATGTGGGCACATGGAAAAGGGCATCTAAAGGTAATGTGGTATATATAAAAATATAAACCTCTGTTCTCAAGAGTCGCTACTTTGGAGAAACGCTGACAAAGTTCAGATATACTCAAATCCTTTTTAATGAAGAACACGCTATAAAACTAAACACTGTTGGAGAACTGAACTAATTTAGTATTTCCTTTCCTATGGTTGTTCGATGCCAGTCAAACTGCTGTTATTAAACCTGTAAATCTTTATTTATGACACGTTGTCATTGCTATGAATTTGTGCCGTAAAATATGATTTACGTATTAAGAAGAGCCTTATAACCATTAATACCCATATTCAATTAGTATCTGCTCAAAGAACAGAGATATATTACACTTACGCAATTTGACTTTTCAGCGTAATGTCACTCCTGCCCTGTTCTTTGACGAACACAGGAAAGTTGCACCAATTACATTCGGCAATATAATTGGCATGACTGCTCTCATGCTTGGTCTGGAGCAAATAGGAAGCTAACTTATAACAATGTCCTTCTGAAGACTTCCATGGGCAGCCTCTCCCCATCCGTCATGCCAGTTCTTCATCTCTTCCTGTCCCTCTGACATAATCTCTTTAGTATGTTAAATAGATTATGGCCAACAGTAAACTTCTAATTATTCATCCTAAATCCCGTGCTTTCTTCATCTCCTCTCTCTCTCTGTCTCTGTCTCTCTCTCTCTCCAAAGCAAAACCCTGTTACCACTATCCAGAACATGATCCAGCACGTATACTGTCTTACTTGATATTATTTCTCCCTTCTTCAACTCATTTTCCTAACCCACCACCATGCTCTTGCGTCCCAGATTTGGTAGTTCCAGTTGCTCTGCATCTCATGATCTCACCGTCTGGTGGTGGTTATCTGGTGCACCTTATCTCTTGGTTGGAAACAGCTGATCACTCCCTGTGTAGCCATAGCTTTAAAACAACATGGGGTTTTTCTACATGCAGACTTGGTCAAATGGTAACAAACGTAGGACACAGGAACATTGTAACGTTCAGCATTCCACACAGGGAGAGCTGCCACAATGGAAGTTTTCAAGTGGTTGACCTTGCAGTGAAGGCCACTGGTGGACCACAGAACATTATGTGGACTGCAGCATAATTTAGTCATTAGATGGCACCGGGCTTAGTTGTAAAACAAAGGTGGAGTCCAGAGCTTCCTCTTTGGTTCTGAGCTAGTGTCTTGACTAATGTATGAGTCAAGACATGGGTGCAAAATAGCTGGTACATTGCACAAAAAAGGCACAGCCCAAGGCTGTCTTTTCACCTAATTAAGGTGTACAAGATTACATTCTTCCTTACATATTTTTATTCTCTGCCTTTCCCCCCAAGTATTACCATTAAAACCATGAGGTCCTAGAAAAGTAGCTTAATAACTGACTAACCCTCATTCATTTCCTGGATGAAAGAGCTGAGCTTGAAGAAGGAGAAAGGAGGAAACGAAAGGTCAGTTTACTCCCCCTTTTTGCTGAGTCACAGGGAAGCGACAAAACATTTTTTGCTGCCTTCTTCACTGCAAGATAAGGCAGAAGAGTAGAAACAGTGGGTTTTCCTCTGCAAAGCAGTAATTACCACTGGGGAGAAGTAAATTAAAGATGTGGTAGAAGAAATTCCAGGGTTAACTATGTTGCTGGAATGGCAGTAAAGTTGTACTCCAACCCTCAGGATATATTTTACTCCATTTATTATTTTTTTAAAAAGATATGGATGTGTGTTATTCCTTGATCTTGATGTTGGATGGATGAAAATAATGGAAACTGAGGGAATCTGAAGGGAGAAAAGCAAGGAAGACAGGTGCAAGAATCAATATACAGTACCTTGGGTTAAGAATTTAATTCGTTCTGGAGGTCCATTCTTAACCTGAAACTGTTCTTAACCTGAAGCACCACTTTAGCTAATGGGGCCTCCTGCTGCTGCCGCGTCGTTGTTGTGCGATTTCTGTTCTCACCCAAAGTTCTTAACCCGAGGTACTATTTCTGGGTTAGCGGAGTCTGTAACCTGAAGCGTCTGTAACCTGAGGTACCACAGTACCATGCTTTCATTTCAGAGACTTTTCTGGCAATACAGCGGTACCTCAGGTTAAGTACTTAATTCGTTCCGGAGGTCCATTCTTAACCTGAAACTGTTCTTAACCTGAAGCACCACTTTAGCTAATGGGGCCTCCTGTTGCCACCGCGCCGCCGGAGCCCAATTTCTGTTCTTATCCTGAAGCAAAGTTCTTAACCTGAAGCACTATTTCTGGGTTAGCGGAGTCTGTAACCTGAAGCGTATGTAACCTGAAGCGTATGTAACCCGAGGTACCACTGTAATGCCTGTGTTGCATGCAGAAAATGCATGTTCCTTTATTGATTACTGTTAATGCAGGGCCACTCTGAGTATGCTATTAGTGGTTTTAAATCCTGCCATTGTATGAATTCTATTTGCATGTATTTTATTGCTGTAAAACCCAGGGCCGTCTTTAGCACATGCTGCACTGTGGTCCAAAAAACCGCCCAGCGTCCCCCAATTTTTTTGGGGGGGCAGGCCAAAGTTGTTGAGCTTTTTGGGGGAGCACGCAACTCTCTCCCATGCCACTGCAGGTGGTGGAAAGAGAGCAATCCCCACAGAAGCTCGGGAGGGAAGCTGCGCACCTCCTGTGAGCAGCATGCATGCGCTGCACGGGTCTCTTGACATCCCGCCAATCCCAGGCGTGCAGGAGGGTAGAGCCAGCCGGCTGCCTCAGCACCTGCAGCAGGAAAGCCTGTGGTGCTCTGACGGGCTCTGCTCTGCTCGGCAGCGGCTGTCAGCTGGCCTGGCTCTTCAATTGCTGGACTCCAAATCTCAGCACTGGACTCTCAGCCTGGCGCCCCTGAGAGCCTGGCGCCCGGGTGCCCCGCATCCCTAGCGCCTATGGGTAAGCCGGCCCTGATAAGACCCTATGAAACTCTTCCGTGGAAAGAATGCAATAAATTAAAGAAACAATATGGAAATATCATTGAATCAAAATTAGGAGGGAAAAGAAACTGGCCAGAAACTATGTCCAGGTCCTGAAGAACACATGTGTAGGCCGCTGGAGCAGTGTTTGAAACTCCCATTGTTCTAGGCACATTTTGCGACAGGGAATATCATTAGCACGATCAGTTTCTGAGCTCTGGGCGCAGCACTGCGCCTAAGATTTCAGATTAAAACTGCAGAGTGGAAGGAAAGGAGGACCTTTTCCTGCCTCCCCACTTCCAGCTACTTTCTGAAGACTGGAGAAGAGACCCTCTTAAGAATATATGGGAGGTGGGCAGAGGAAGGACTAGACCATGTGAAAAGTGAACATAATATTTTAGCTGCAGTTCATTCATTTTCAGCTTTGTATCCTTGTTATAAAAAAGCGCGCCCAGACATTCCGTAGTTGTGCTCATAACCTCGGTTTAAGGTGCCATTCAGCTCCTAGCTTTCATATCTGTTTCTAACACTGAGGTGGAGTAGTATTTCCATTTTTCTTTACTGCCGAACAGACACCACTTTCAAATCTGCACAGTGGGCTTTTTGTTTAGCAGTGGGAAGAGCTGGAGGAAGAAGTAAAAGGAAAATGTTCAGTAACGTGTCTGTGTTCTTCAAACTGAGGCAAGCTCAACTTTACAGTGGGAATCTGAAAAATCATAAGTCGGAGGTGGGGGGGGGGGACTGGCAACACTCCAGCCCCATTGAAAGCACAGTGTTGAGCTGACCAAAGGCATAAGCATCATTAGAATAGACACTGCCAATATGGACATCTACTTATTCATTTATGATCCTATCTACTGAGTGTTATAATTTTTAAAATCTCTGTTCTTGGGTATGTAGGCAGACCTACAAGCAGCACAATCTTAATATCATTAGGGAACACCATTTCGCTCTGCGTCACCACTGATAAAGCTTTGTATCTAATTGCCCTATTATCTGAGTAATTGCACTGAAAGTATTATTGACTATACCTTGGGAATGTGGAGGGGACTAGACTGGCCACTATGCTGAACAGGAAAGTATGATATTAAAATTAGCAAACACACTTCTGTGAGGTGTAACAGGTGCACTGCAGAAACGAACAGTCACATTGTGCTTTTTCCATCCCACTCTTCAGTATGTCTAAATTTCCATTAAGAAGATGTGTACAAAATTCCCTTTGTTCACTGGGGGGCTGGGGGAGGAAAAGAACCCTCCATTTTTTTCATGTCTATGCTTATCTTTGGCAACCCAAATGCAAATTCAAACTAACCACAAAGTAGCTGCACTCGATACAGCCTAATTTTAAGTTCCATAGAAAACTCTTGAATTATTTAGCATTAACAGTTTTACAAGATGAGAGTCAAGCTGTGAAAGAGAATGGGGAAAGCGCATTCGTTTCTCCATTTTCTCGAAGCCCTTAAAACGCCGATTTTCACACAGTAAATCCACCGCTGCTGAATTGTCTCCTTGCTTTCTCAAAGGAACGCTCTTTGCCGGGTTGCAGCCTGCTGTGGTCAAGTATGATGGAAATAAAAGTGTTGCTAAAGAGTGACTGAAATGTATTCCCACTGCTGCCGGCCAATGTTGGTTTTACACCGGGCAGTTTTGTTGAAACACAAAAGCAACAGGAGACAGTAAACTCTCTTTAAAGCTTTCTAAACTTTCAGTCACCTCTGCTGCCCTCAGTGTTACTACTGGCATATCCCACATCCTTCCCTAACTCCACATTCATATTAACTCTGTCAGCACCAAGCGTTAGGATGCTCATTTTCTCGCACAAATGCAAGCCGTAGAAATGCAACGTGTCTAGCAAATTCAAAATAATGCAATGCTGCCTCCTACGGAAAAAAGAAACAAAACTTTTCTCTTCTTACTCTAGATCCTGCCTGCCTCCCACCTCCCCCAACTCGTGCTGTAGGATCCTCATTGAAATAATATGGAAGCTCTCCTAGAGGGAAAGGTTGCAGCATTTTGGACCTCTGAGTTTAGAGAAAATGCAGGTATGAGGTGACACAGGTGATGAGGTGATAGATGTTCATCAAACTATGCTTGGCATGGGAAAAGTGGACAGAGAAAGGTTTTTCTTCCTGTCTCAGAACTCCTAGGCATCCAGTGAAGATGAATGTTGGAACATTCAGGAAAGATAAGAGAAGGTCCTTCTTTCCACAGCGCATAGTTAACTTGGTCTCACAAGAGGCTGTGGTGGCCACCCATCTAGATGGCTTTAAAAGAGGATTAGACAAATTCATGGAGGAGGAGAGGGCTACTGACGGCCCTCTCCTTGATGACTATGCTCTGTCAGTGTGGTGTAGTGGTTAAGAGCGGTGGACTCGTAATCTGGTGAACCGGGTTCGCGTCTCCACTCCTCCACATGCAGCTGCTGGGCGACCTTGGGCTAGTCACACTTCTCTGAAGTCTCTCAGCCCCACTCACCTCACAGAGTGTTTGTTGTGTTTGAGGAAGGGAAAGGAGATGGTTAGCCGCTTTGAGACTCCTTCAGGTAGTGATAAAGCGGGATATCAAAATCCAAACTCCTCCTCCTCCTCCTCCTCTTCTTCTTCTGTCTCCACAGCTGGAGGCAGCAATGAATTTCCATTTGCTAGAAACCACAGGAGGGTTCTTGTGCTTGAATCCTGCTTGCATGTTTCCCATAGGTCAGTCACTGTGAGAATAAAAGGCTGGACCAGATAGGCCATGAGCCTGATCCACCAGGCTTTTCTGATATCTTTAAAGCCCATTAAGTGTTGACTTACATTTAACATCAGGTCTAGTTTGGCCCTTGGAGATAAATATATAAGAGGGCTTTTGCGTGATTGTGCTACAGCAGTGGTTCAGTATTATGGAATGTTCTTCCTTTGTACACCACATTCCATTTGGTTATGGCCACCAGATGACAAGACGCGTGGGAGATTTATGGATTAAAACCCTCAGTGACTCCAGTGAAGCTTCACTGTCCTCTGCATGTTTACTCAGAAGTAAACCTCATGGGGGGCTCATTGCTTAGGAAATGTCTGGAGGACTTGAGGATTGTGCACATGCCTTGGTTGTGTGTCTTTTTAAGTCTCCACTGAACAAAATCAGGGTCTTTTCCCTTGGCATTTTAAAATTTATTTTTCAGATGTGTACCCCACCACACTGACCCTGTGACAGACAACAAAAGCTGAGAGTTAAAGCAAATACCACACCCCCTGAATTGAACTTTAAATGTTAATGGAATAGTGGGTTGCCTTTTCTATATGGGGTGAAACTCTCTGATTCATTAGCATTTCTCTCTTTAATTTTTGTAAAGACCACCTGAAGGGGTATTGTTGAACGCTGACGGTTGCTGAACTGCAACTTAATATATGGTTACCAGATTTTTTTCAATGAATCTGGGGATACTTTTTCCTTCCTTCCTTCCTTCCTTCCTTCCTTCCTTCCTTCCTTCCTTTCTTCCTTTCTTTCTTTTTTGAAGCTGAGTAGCAACAGGGAGTCAATAGTGGGGATGGTGAGGCAAAAGACCCTGGGCCCAAGCACACATGCATATTGTATAAAGGTGCAAAGCCCTTTTTTTGCACCCTGTGGATCATAAATGCAGAGAGTTTTTTAAAAACAGCAATGGTGTGCCACCCACCCGTGACTCCCGAGCCTCCCCCGATATCCTCCCCCCTTTGTTTTGACTGATCAGGGGAGGCTCGTGAGTCGCAGGCGGCCAGCCGTTGCCCAGTTTTTAAAAAAACCCTCTGTGCATTTATGTTTCACAGGGTGCGAAAGAGGGGCTTTGCACCTTGCCTGGCAGAGAAACTACGCCCCTTGCGCCCCTCCTGGGCAACGGTCACCCACGCACGACTCCCGAGCCTCTCTTAATCTGTCAAAACAAAGGGGGAAGGGGGCAGGAGATCTGTACTGCCGGAAGTCCCTGGTTCCCCTTCGGCAGTGGCGGCCGCAGCGAGCAGCGAGCAGCTCCTGAAGCCAGCCAGAGCCAACTGCGCTACCAGGCTGGATCCGGGCTTCTGAGGCTGCCGCTGCCACGTTTCCCGGGGACAGATTTGCAAATCTGGGGACAGAATTTGTCCGGGGACAGATTTGCAAATCCGGGGACTGTCCCCTGGAACTGGGGACGTCTGGTAATCCTAACTTAATAGCCTGTATGTTTTTGAACCTGTACAAATTATTACCAACGCAGAAGACAAACCTTTGCCTTCCTTTTTGTACTGCTTACTCTGAGTTCATGGGCTGGTTCTTCTTGCAGTGCTGGCAAACCTGTATTTGGACTTTGGCATTAACACCTGCATGTGGAGACCCTACGGACTGAATGATCCTCCATAGAAAGAACTCGCTCCATGTTGACAATCAACATGCCAAGGAGAAGAGTACTAGTTTGGCATGCTAGGTGGTTTCTGTTCCTCCTTTTCCAGGGAGTTTCATAGCACTCAGTGTCTCTACTGGCAGGCTGAAGTGGTACTGCTCAGTTCTCAGTCTCAGTGGCATCTGAAGCAACGTTGTCACACTTCAGTCCTCTCCTTTTCAGCCCTGAGCCTTAGCCCAAGGACCTTCTAATATCATCCTGTGAAGATGGACAGCTCTTTTCAGCACTTCGAAGAGGCCTCCTAAAAATGTCATTTGTCAGCAAGTAAATGTGTCCAGCTGAGGAATCTAGTTCTTCTTCTGGAATGAATCCTCTTTGCTGGCTCCACCTTCTACAGGGTCAAGAATGACAGAAATGAAGAGCTACCAATATTTGTGTGCAATGCCCTTTATCATGGAGGCCAAATTTGTGGAACAGAAAGCAGCAGGAGACAGTAAACCTCCCCTAAGAATTACTAAACTTTGAGTCACCTCTGCTACCAAAGCCATTCCGCTACCCCTGTTTGGAGTAAACTGATATTATAATGACTAATCTCAGCAAGGGCCTAACATGCAACCTGAAGCGCTGTTAGCATAATTATAGATAGGGCTGTGGAAGGCTGAAGGCACACCCTCAACTCCCACCCCTAAAATAAACTAGATTGGGTTACTGCCGCAGCCAGGCTGCCATGGACAGGTAACTGAGCAGTAAACTGCAATGAGGGAAAAATTATTATTGTCAAAACTGGCTGCCAGCTATTAAAGGTTTGAATGTCACCTCAAAAGAACTCCTTTTTTGACCTTTAAGTGGTGGCGTCTCGAGGGCTCTCTCAAGCAACGGTTTCACCCTCCTGGGGAGCAAAGGCATGACAGTTGAGAACACTTTCATTTGTTTCTTTCCTGCTGCCCCTCCCTCCCCATCCCATAATTGCCCCCGCCATGAAATATTATTGTTCCTTCCGACAGAAATATTTTCACTTGCTAGATTAATTTTTACAGTAAGGTCCACTTTGCCTGAAAGCTATGGAGACACTTTTACATCATGTAAACATATTGCTTTAAGATCCTAGTCAACACTTCATTTGAGAGCCCTCCCTGTAATATTTTCTGTTAAGGGAGCTAAATGCATAGCAGACTGCACAACACACACACACACACACACACACACACACACACAGTCCTGAGCTAGGACCTGGCTAAGACATTTGAGGAGGACAGATGTTTCCAAAATGTCTAGAAGAAAATTGAATGATGATTCAAAACAATGAAGGCTCTAAGTGATGGTGTTCACACTTATCAGTACCTATTAACAGAGAGAGTAAATTTGAATTGATGATTCAAACCTTAGAATCATAGAGTTGGAAAGGACCAGAGGGGTCATCTAGCTCAACCCCCAGCAATACAGGAACCTTTTGCCCAATGTGAGGCTCAAACCCCACATTAATCTCGAATCCCGGAGGTTCAAACCCCTTAATCTCAAACCCCTGAGATTAAGAGTCGCATGCTCTGCTGATTGAGCTATCCCAGCAGTTGTAGTTTATCAAGAAGATTTTGTGAGTAATCTTTGCTGTATTGTATTGTAGTTGTTGGGACGTGGGTGGCACTGTGGGTTAAACCACAGAGCCTAGGACTTGCCGATCAGAAGGTCGGCGGTTCGAATCCCCGCGACGGGGTGAGCTCCCATTGCTCGGTCCCTGCTCCTGCCAACCTAGCAGTTAGAAAACACATCAAAGTGCAAGTAGATAAATAGGTACTGCTCCGGTGGGAAGGTAAAAGGCGTTTCCGTGCGCTGCTCTGGTTCCCCAGAAGCGGCTTAGTCATGCTGGCCACATGACCCGGAAGCTGTATGCCGGCTCCCTTGGCCAATAAAGCGAGATGAGCACCGCAACCCCAGAGTCGGTCACGACTGGACCTAATAGTCAGGGGTTCCTTTACCTTTACCTTACTGTAGTTGTTTTCCACTTCCCTGCATATAAATTTCTTGCAGCGGTCAACAAATGGAAGGCCATCACCCCAAATTCTTTGAACCTGCTTTGATCCCCCAACACCCAGTATGTTTTTTTGCCATAGAACATTTCCACTGCATGCGATAAAAACTGCCCTTTCCTTTTTGGCAGTTCCAGCAAGAACAAAGCATTTTCAAAATTGATTTTATTTACCTTTGTGGGTGTGATATAAAACCTGCTCATGATTTTGTAGCATTTTTGTCAAACTCCCGAGTTTAGGGAGAACATACGGCTGTCAGCCATAATTATTCCCATCCACCCACTGGGATATTTTCTCAGATATTCTGAGCCCGTCTCACCATGTATTCCTTAATTTGTACTTGTTCTATACCATATTTAAGTAACAAATGATATATTTTTGTCAATCTGTTTTTTTTTTTTTTTGTTATTACCAGCTTTTCAAACTAAATTACTGTTTTTATGTGGTTATGCGCCTTCGAACTTATTCTTGCAACTTTGAAAGAATGTGAAAATATTTAAACCATAGGAAGTTCTGTCACGGTGAGCATCCTTTCTGAGTATGAAATCACTAAATCCTGAATCCTAAACAAGTCGCAATGTCATCCAAGTAAATTTTAATTTGTCTTCCCCCCTTAGTATTGTTGACCATGAAATGAAGCCATGTAACAAAAAAAAAAAATCCCTTAAAAAACCCAATGAAACAAGATGACCCACATACAGATCTCCCCCCACATTGACCAAAAACCTCACATTACTGAAAATTCCAGAATGTGACATAAATATCCTTAACTTTTTTTGGGGGGGGGACTTCTGTTTGCCCTTGAGTAGGCATGTCACGTGACAGGATCTGACCCTGGCAACATTCTGCTGCTCTAGTTATGCACCAGTTACAGTATCAACTCTTTACCCTGACCTTTGACACTTGACATGTATATACTTAATTTGTTTTAAATATTGTATTTTAAATTGTTTTATCTTGCTCTGGGATCATATAGTGAAGGGTGGGTGATTAATGCTAACAATTAACAATAGTAATAATAGTAATAATAATGATAATAAAATTATTAATAACATTCGCATCTCCTATTGGTAAAAAATAACTTGCAGGCTTTCAGTCAAGTAACACCTGCATCATCTTTTTTTGCATTTTGAAAGGTTTTCTTTTACGTTTTCAGAATAATTATACACTTTTCATCTCTAGAATGATATATCAGTAAATCAGGTATGAACCGTCCAGAATTAAGAACCAGCCCTACTGCTTTATCAATTAAAGAATTAAACAGGTATTAGTTAAAAGAACCTTTTGTGTTTTCTCCAAATCTAGCTAGTTCAACATCCTGGGTCTAACAGTGACCAGCCAGAAGCCCCTCGGAAGTTTTCAAACATGATATAAAGGCGATAGCATCGTTCTGCCCGGACACTGAGGTCCAGTGTCGATGGCCTTCTGGCGGTTCCCTCATTGCGAGAAGCAAAGCTACAGGGAACCAGGCAGAGGGCCTTCTCGGTAGTGGTGCCCGCCCTGTGGAACGCCCTCCCATCAGATGTCAAAGCGATAAACAACTACCTGACATTCAGAAGACATCTTAAGGCAGCCCTATTCAGGGAAGTTTTTAATGTGTGACATTTTAGTGTATTTTTGGTCTCTGTGGAAGCCGCCCAGAGTGGCTGGGGAAACCCATCCAGATGGGCGGGGTACAAATAATAAATTATTATTATTATAGCATCCCATGGGGGAGGACTGCAACTGTGTCGGTTTTGTGTGGCAACGATTCCATGTTCACTCCCTGTCATCTTCAGGTGAGGTTGGGTATGTATCCTGAATCAGCGAACCTGGTTTTTCCTCCAATTTTTCATTTGCGATAAATAACAGTGCAAAGTGGAAACTTTACTGTATCGTTTTATATTATTCTCCTCTCGTAAGAAGTCATCTTTTGCAGAGGGAGTCGTCACTCTTGTTTAGTTGCCACCAAGCACCAGCAATTGATGGTTTTAGCAAGCTAATATTTCATCTGTGGATACCAGGCATTAATACCTATATATGCCAGTTGGGGGAACGAGCCCATGTGCGGTTACATTTGCCTGACACAACTTCTCCTGTCATGGCCTATTAAGACCAGTTTACAAGTGCATGCTGAATTTGATGAATATGCATGTGACCTCTTTTGCAGCCATCACTCATTGGACAAGAACCCTCATGGCAGAAGCAACAGCACCTCTCATTAAACACAACTTGAGTTACAGGCATGTTATGGTAATGCTTCTTCAGAACTTTAGGGGTTTTTCTTGTACTAATAAATCTTAAAATAATGCAATTTAAAAGTATAATTAATGAAACTTCCCCTTAACTGTTTCACTTGATGCATTTTCTACTGAATTTCTCCCCCTCTGTGTTAGCAAAGATGTCAAACGAGGTTATAGCTAATGCATTCCATTGCTGATATTTCTGCCTTTTGTTTTGCAAGGAGCCGTACACAAAATCTTTCGGGTACTTACTTTTTGAAAGCATGCCTACATGCCCATAACATGAAAAGTGATCTGGTTTCTTACTGAAAATATGAACCGCAATAATGAGCTTCCTGGATACAGTTTTCGGGTTTCCATTTCTCTTCATGTCCTGCTTCAAGCAAGGGATGGTTCACATGTGAAGCCGTTTCTGTTGATTAGATGGTTGTGTGAATCTGGTGTGAATCTGCTCTCAGAAATGCAATGAACCCTGAGGAGTGAAAAGAATTACTGAAAGAACATAAAGTGTATCATCACAAGGTGTCCCATGGTAGGTCAAAACTGTATAAAATACAACATAACAATAAAATACAGTTGCGTGTCGAGGTCCCCAGGGCCACCCCAATAACTCACACATCACACAGAATTTTTTGTTTAAGGTTTTTGGCATAATTTTGGCCACAACTTTATTAAAATACAAAAATGTGAGTGGTTGCTTAGGCATTGGTTGCGACTATCTGCCCCACCATGGGGGACAGACTGACATTCCGCACAATGCGAAAGTCAGAAAAGGCGTAGCGACTTGGACTTGGGCGTAGCGACGGAGCAGGGAACCTGCCCTCAGCCCTCCCCAAATGCAACCAGGAGCTCATTGCTATGGCCCGAGCCCCCTTGACAGAGTGGACAAGCAATTGTTAGCCCCTGATTCCTTTAACGGAATCCCTTGCAGCAGCAGCATTAGAGGGGCAGGCACAGCCAATCCATGCCCCTCAACCAACCAAACCATAAACCAATGCCTAACCGCAACCTTACAGGTTGTGACGATTTGCTACGCAGTAGGCAAAAACCAAATGGCCCCAGCCAATCAGCCAAATGGACAAAATTCCTACCGGGCCCCTGCCCCAAGAGCAGACAACCCCATGACAGGCATAGCAAGGTCAAAGTGAACAACCCTAATTCTAGGGGGGGGGGGGACGGGCAATCCAATGCACGGGGCGAAAAGAGGAAGCTCTACGCCCTTGTGCAGGGAGTTTTAGCATTACTGGCTGTCAATCAACAAATGGCTTCCCAACAACAAGGGAAGCCCCAATCGCATCAGTGGCCAACGATCAATTAGCCCGCCCCCAACTTTGGAGTGTCCTGGCGGCCCCCACCGCAACACGTGCTCTCCATGAAGGAGAACACGCTTTGTCATGTTTTAAACGTAGGTTTAGGGCCATATGAAAAGAGGCCCTTAAAAGTAAAAGACTGGCTATAATCACAGTCCACACTTTGGAGAGCTGCCCCCATCCTCCAAAGCCACCTTACCTTAGCAATGGGCCCTTCCGTACTCCACCCTTCCTGCTCATCCAACAAAGCTTTTCGTGCCCAGTTCTGGCAGGGCAATGAGAATGAACTCTGCTGCACTTCCTTTTCAAAGCTTCTGGCATCCACAGGCTCATGATGCTGTGGTGCATTAGAAATGGCTTCTACATATGACCCTAGCAGCTGGTGTGCTTCTGTAGGTGACAACATGAGGCCTCTAGATATATAAAGCAAGCGTTTGACGTGTCCCTTTTAATGCTTACTTTTTGTGAAATCAGATCCGCCTCTTTTATTTGTTATTAAAAAGCTTTTTTTAAAAAAATGGTAAGTAATAATATAGCCATTCTGAAATTACCAAAGAAGGTCTTCTGCTCCCATTTCCATTGTATTACCAATGGTGATGATGCTATAATAAACAATTTAATCACATATTCCATTAAACCAGGAACATAGGAACTATCTGCCCATATACAGTGGTACCTTGGGTTACAGATGCTTCAGGTTACATATGCTTCAGGTTACAGACTCCGCTAACCCAGAAATATTACCTCGGTTAAGAACTTTGCTTCCGGATGAGAACAGAAATTGTGCAGTGGTGGCATGGCAGCAGTGGGAGGCCCCATTAGCTAAAGTGGTGCTTCAGGTTAAGAACAGTTTCAGGTTAAGAACGGACCTCTGGAACGAATTAAGTACTTAACCCGAGGTACCACTGTAGCTGAATATTGCTTACAACAACCATCTGTCCATATAGCTCAATGTAGCTCACAACAGCCTTCCAGAGTTTGAAAGAGGGGACATTCCCTGCTGTACCTGAAAGCCCCAGAGATGGACAAATACTGTTCAGATCATTTATATTTGGACTTTCCCACCCAATATTACTCTTCAGAGCCAAAATCCAAGCCTACTTATAATGAATGCATAACTCTAGAAAAACATGTCAGGAAACCAAAAGATAAAGTCAAGCAGCCACCCCTTTCCATGGGTGCAATGGAAACATTTACTTTAACAAGGAAACTATCAAATATCCCACATTGTTCAAACAAGTTGTTAATGCGTGGGTAGAGAACATGAAACGGATCGCAAGAGACCCTCGAGACTTCCTTATCTCATCTCAGAGCACAAGTAGCTCTAGCTGAAAGTTATCTTAATTCTTCGTAAGCAACGGACTGAAAGAAATGTCTGTGGACTCCCCGGTTGTTTAATAGACCTGCTTTGAAAGCCCATTAACTGCATGAAACCACAGGTACAAAAATTATTTATGACGACACATTGGACAACGATCATGAGAAAATATGCATACAGTGGTGCCTCGGGTTACAGACGCTTCAGGTTACAGACTCCCCTAAACCAGAAATAGTACCTCGGGTTAAGAACTTTGCTTCAGGATGAGAACAGAAATTGTGCGGCGGCGGTGCGGTGGCAGTGGGAGGCCCCATTAGCTACATACATAGGTACATACCCCATAGATTAGAAAAATGCACATGGAGCAGTGGTCATAAGGATATGTAACCACTGCTACCAGTTGCATGATACCTAAAGCATTCCCAGGTGGCGCTCATTACAGGGAGACTGAATTGCACTAATTCAATTTAAAAGTACAGAGAAATATAACAATAGAAAAACATCAAATAAAACAATTTCAATCCAGTTCAGAATTAAGTCCTTTAGGGTGAATGGTCTTAAACATAAAAATGAATTGAGATTCTTTCTGTCGTAGCCATCTTTCATGATCTTGTCTTTTGTTGATGTTTTTATGATTCACCCACAGTAAAGTGGTACCTCAGGTTACATACGCTTCAGGTTACATACGCTTCAGGTTACAGACTCCGCTAAACCTCGGGTTAAGAACTTTGCTTCAGGATGAGAAGAGAAATTGTGTTCTGGTGGTGGCGTGGTGGCAGCAGGAGGCCCCATTAGCTAAAGTGGTGCTTCAGGTTAAGAACAGTTTCAGGTTCAGCACGGACCTCCAGAACGAATTAAGTTCTTAACCCAAGGTACTACTGTAATTGCTTGGCTTCCCCTCTGCCCCACTCCAGACGATTAGCTTCCTCAATACACTAGGGCTGCATTTTGGGGAATAGATCAGAACGGAGGACTATGCAAAGTCCAGTGCCAAACAGATGCCTCAGGAACATGGTGCGACTGCAACTTATGAGAGGGATATCTTTTTGGGGGTTGTGTGTAAAGGCAAAATAGCACAAACACAGAATGACTCCCCAGAACCATCACTGCCTCCAGAGTTTTTGCACGACTCTGTCTCAGAGTCTGGTAAGCAAGGTGGAGAGCTTAAACACTCTTTCATGCATGTCCCCCATTTGTTGTTTAGTCGTTTAGTCGTGTCTGACTCTTCGTGACCCCATGGACCAGAGCACGCCAGGCACTCCTGTCTTCCACCAAACCCGCAGTTTGGTCAAACTCACGCTGGTAGCTTCAAGAACACTGTCCAACCATCTCGTCCTCTGTCGTCCCCTTCTCCTTGTGCCCTCCATCTTTCCCAACATCAGGGTCTTTTCCAGGGAGTCTTCTCTTCTCATGAGGTGGCCAAAGTATTGGAGCCTCAGCTACACGATCTGTCCTTCCAGTGAGCACTCAGGGCTGATTTCCTTCAGAATGGATACGTCTGATCTTCTTGCAGTCCATGGGACTCTCAAGAGTCTCCTCCAGCACCATAATTCAAAAGCATCAATTCTTCGACGATCAGCCTTCTTTATGGTCCAGCTCTCACTTCCATACATCACTACTGGGAAAACCATAGCTTTGACTATATGGACCTTTGTCAGCAAGGTGATGTCTCTGCTTTTTAAGATGCTGTCTAGGTTTGTCATTGCTTTTCTCCCAAGAAGCAGGTGTCTTTTAATTTCGTGGCTGCTGTCACCATCTGCAGTGATCATGGAGCCCAAGAAAGTAAAATCTCTCACTGCCTCCATTTCTTCCCCTGCTATTTGCCAGGAGGTGATGGGCCCAGTGGCCATGATCTTAGTTTTTTTGATGTTGAGCTTCAGACCATATTTTGCGCTCTCCTCTTTCACCCTCATCGGTGATGATAGATTGGGCAAGAGATTTAGGACATAACATAATGTTTGAGGACTGGGAAAGATTGTGGAAGAAAGGGGTGAAGTTCACCGCATGTACTTTGTTAAAGGAAAATATTATGAAAATGATGTATAGATGGTATTTGACTCCTGTAATATTAGCAAAGATGTATCATAATTGTGATAATACATGTTGGAAACGTAAAGAAAAGGAAGGAACATTCTTTCATATGTGGTGGACCTGCCCCAAGGTGAAAGACTTCTGGGAAAAGATTTATAATGAATTGAAAAAAATGTTGAAATATACATTTATAAAGAAACCAGAGGCCTTTCTTCTTGGAATAACAGGTTCGGAATTGCCCAAGAAAGATGTTAATCTATTTTTGTATGCCACAATTGCGGCTCGTATTTTGTTAGCTAAAAAGTGGAAAACTCAAGAATTACCAACAGTAGAAGAATGGCAGATGAAGATGATGGATTTTATGGAGCTAGCCAATCTAACCAGAAGAGTCCGTGACCAGAAGGAGGAGGAACACCACGAAGAATGGAAGAAATTTAATGATTATTTAGTTAAATTTGTTAAGTTAAAATAACTGGAAATAGCGTCCAGATACTTAATGGACTTAGGATTGTATTTATGTTAATTGATAAAATAATATGTCTAATACAAGAAGGAGAAGATTTAAAGATGTTAATGTTTAATTTAAAGGGTATTAAAATTGGGATTTGGAAAACCGTTATAAGGATATGCAATGAAATTCAACTAAGGGGAAACGAGGAAGTCGTTTTACAAAGTAAATAACTGTTATTTTCAATAAGGTTATGATTTATGTTTGTTATGTCTTGTTTGTTTTATGTTTTTGTTTGTCGTTAATATTGTAAAAATTAATAATTTTTTTAAAAGGTTCTTTAATGTCCCCCATAGCTACATGCAAGAGTTCCAGATGCAGAAAGTGCTCGTGAACCTCACTACTTGGAAATGCTGGAAGTGCACAAATCACTTACACACCCCTCTTCCCACCCCACCCCACCTTTATCGCCGGCCTCAGAGATTCCGTTGAGAATGCAGAACTTCTGTTTGCATTTCAAACAAAGCTAAAAGCTCATAAACTTCAGTTTTTGTATGTGCTAAGAGTGCAGGAATGACATGCAAATCTTTTCTGAATTATAAATGCTATCAATTTAGGGGGTATTTCATGACTGTTAATGAAAAATGTAACCATCCCAAAGAAAGGCCACGGATAAAACCAGCATGATTCATGAATTTGATGGAGGAGAGATAAAGAGCGGGGGAGGGGAGGGACTTCAGGAAGAACAAACAGGACAGGGACTGCAACATAAAACTGTGCTACAGAAAGAGCTCAAATTAACATGTCCCCTAAAGACTTGGGAAGAAGTCCATATCCAATTACAAAGGACTGGATATTGGCTATTAATTAAGGCAATGCCATCATGATACTTGCTCCTTGTCTTTCACAGGAGAATCATTTTCCTTTCTGAGCTCACAGAATCAGAAATATACTGACGTACGTCAAGATTATCAGACAAAACTAAATGCAATAGACAACTTGATCTTCTGTGAATTAAAATATACCGGTAATGATTTACACACACACACACACACACACACACACAAAAAGGGATGCAATCTTGGGCACATTGAGGTAGACAGGTACTTTTATCTGACAACTCTTTATCCAACCTGATTTATATGTTACCACTGTGGCATGATTGCACTAAAGCACACTCTCCCTTGTGGTTGTAGCTCCATGTTGCACTGAGAGCCTAGGGAAGCAGAAACCACATGGATCACACATTTTGTCTACTTGCTACCATGTTTCTGCCACACTTTCACTGGACCCTCTGCTGGTAGTGTAGAAAGAAAAAACATATGATTGCCATTGCTTGCAGATATTACTTGCCAGTAGGCTTGGCCTGCTTGACAGTGATGCATACACAGGTTTTCTACATGGTGGCTCCCCAGTTGTAGAATCATGGAAAATTCCAAATTAAACAGTATACTGGTACCTCCTTTAAGAAACATACAAGCTCCCTCAATTTCAGTTTTCAAAATAGCTAATAGCAGAATTAGCAAAGAATTTATTTTACTGGACGGTATGAATGGGTGTGATGGTATGAACACAATTCTGTGTTTAGACTCTAGAACTGGCCATAGATGGAACAGTTCCCCATGGTTTTTAAAGAACAGAGTATTCAGATAGCGCTCACTTGAATCTGCTTACTTTATCAAAGTTGTAGGTGGAAAAGGAAGATGCCCATGAATTTGGCAGAGGAGACTCTAAGTGGCAGGTGAGTGCAAGCCTCTAACCATTGCAGCATTTTGAACCAGATTTTCAGCCTCTGAGAGAGAGATGGACTGCGCTATCCTAAGCACTCAGGAAAGCCTGGCTAATTCAGATATTTTTACAGCTTGCTTTTATCTCCCAGAGTGTTCCTGGCTAACTCACAAGTGATTCATTATGTATACGACTCCTCCCAAATATCTCAGGTCATTACACCATTGACTTCCTTTGAGGATTGTTCAAGGCTGGATGCAGCCTGCCTCCATGGAGTTATTTATCTAGCTGTATGCTCTGGCTTGTTCCAGCAGGACCCATTGTGCCAAACAGGCACAACCCTCTGTCAGAGACTGTTGGGGTCTGCATTGCTCCAGCACGGAGAGTGACACACCAGCTTTAGTTCAAGGAACTATTTTTGATACAAGGGGCTAAATGAATAAATTAAGCAAAGTGAATTACAGCTGGGTGTGGGGGAATCAAAGGATAGCTGCTGGTGAGTTTCATGAGTTTATAAATGTATGGCTTGAGAGAAACCATTTTGCAAAATTGTTTTATTTTCATTACTTCATAGAGATTTTTTAGTGCTGTGGTGAGGGAGTTGGGTGTGTTTAACCTGAAAAAGAGGAGATACGATAGCCATCTTCAAATATCTAAAGCATGGGTAGGCAAACTAAGGCCCACGGGCTGAATCTGGCCCAATCGCCTTCTAAATCTGGCCCGTGGACAGTCCAGGAATCAGTGTGTTTTTACATAACATTCCTTATCAGAACAGTGTTTTGTCTTAGTATGCTACTTTGGCAATTTAAATATAAATAAAATAAAATAAATTGAATGCATGGACAGATACAACTTTTGCTCCACTCAGTATGAATACAAAAACATTATTTTTCAGTATAGATGGTTCATGTGCTGAGAATCATCAAGTGATGAAAGATCGAGTAAAAAAACAAATGAACCATATTAAGTCCACTCCCACACTATTGTCCTTAGGATCCTGTTATATAAAAAAAAGTTTCATAAAATGTACCTAATTATTAATTAGCAAAATCAATACCAAATTTTATTATTTGTTTGTTTGTTTTTTAAAATCTCTTTTTGCCTTCCCCACCAAATGATACAAACAAGAACTGTTTATATGGTATCCTAAGAGGTTGTATTCAGTAAATGTGTAGGGCACTGAGGCTGCCTATCAAAAATCCCTGTGCAAAAATGGAATGGGTTCACAGTTAAACTCCTAAAAGGTAAATACTGAGAAATTAATCTCTCTCTCTCTTGCTTGAGACAGCATCCTTCTTTTGAGAGATTTCCAGAAAACATGACTGCCTCTGAGATGATATATTGTATTTTTACAGCTTAAATGCTGTCCTGGGCAGGAGAAGAATTAAACATAACAACCTTGGTAAGTAAACTGAAGTCGACTCTGCTATCGGTAGGATTGGCTTTAATTTGTTTCAATAAATCTTTGAAGAGCAATAGCAGAACAAGCTGGTTGGTTTTCCTCAGAGCCAATGTCAAATCTGCCATTTTAATGGCTTTATTGAGGCTCTTCCAAAATCCCGGAGAGGAAGGGCTAATAGATAAAATAGGTATGCTTGCAGGTCTACAGAAATGCAACACGCCAACATTTGAGAGGTGTCAGAAGTCTTGTTATATATTCGATCCAATTCTTAAAGCTGACTAAATGGGAAACATTGACATGGGGCATTGTATTCTGTGCCTTCATGGTTATAAAACAAAGTGATAATTCATATACCAAGGCTTTCTGTATTCTGTACCAAAATCTGTTCCCCCCAAAACCAAATATTGTGCGAAAATGGGATGTGTGTGCCACTAAATAAGAACAAATAAATCTCACTTTCACACGAGCCAGCCTGTTTCCTAGCACAGGCATAGGTAAACTCGGCCCTCCCTAGCTAACAGGACCAGTGGTCAGGGATGATGGGAGCTGTAGTCCCAAAACATCTGGAGGGCCGAGTTTGCATATGCCTGCCCAAGCATATACCTAATGGATGCTCCTGATGGTCCAATATCAGTAATTATGCTGAGGACAGCCAAAGATATGACCATTTCAAGAAAGCCACTTTCGCCTTAGTAGGAGGCACTGACGACCCCTTCACATGCGCAGGGGTGTGGTCAGTCCTGTGTGATTGGGGGGGATTCCCGGCTGTATCACTGCCCAGGCAACCAAGCCAATTGCTCTGGGGGTGTGGCCTGCTTGCTTTAAGAAGGACACAGCAGGAATCTCACCCCATATCTAGCTCAAGGCGACTGGCCTTAAAGGCCCATGTCCGTTTAAGGATGTCAGGTGATTTCTGTTTCTAGGCCACCTGTTTCAGGCCCATTTCTGATATATTTGGATGGCTCTCGCCTCTCACGGTATCTATTCACATACCTGTAGTTTTCTCCCAGCAGAATTTGCAGCTCATTCTTTTAGAATAGGCACCACCCCTACTGCTGTGCGTTTGAGGCTATCAGCAGAACAGGGGAAAAGATATGGTCGGCAGAAGTCTGACGTCTACAATAGTTATATTTGTATGACCTTCTGAGTGATGATGATCTCGCTGACCTGGCTTGTCATTCCATTTTATTTTTTTTATAATAATTTTTATTAATTTTAACATATAAATTATAATACATACCACAAAACTTCACCACTTATACAATCTTTTTTTTGACATCAGCACCTCTGATGATCCACCGTTTTCATCACTTCTTATGCATTTCTTAAATTTCTATTGCCTTTAATTATCTTAACTAACCATCCTCCCCTTTATCCATTTTTGCAATAGTTCCAATAATTCACCCCACAAAACTTCTTGCAAACCTACAAACGTAGTCTGATCATCACAATTGCTTTTCAAATAGTCTGTAAATTTACACCAGTCTTCTGTGAATTTCTGGTCCCGCAGATTTCGAATCCTTCCTGTTAGTTTATCTAGTTCTGCATAGTCCATTAACTTCATCCTCCATTCTTCTTTCGTCGGTAATTCTTCTTGCTTCCATTTTTGTGCCAATAATATTCTTGCTGCCGTCGTTGCATATAAAAACAGCTTACATTCTTTTCTATTTATATCACTTCCTACAATGCCCAGTAAAAATGCTTCTGGTTTCTTTATAAATGTATATTTCAACATTTTTTTCATCTCGTTCTATATCATTTCCCAGAAGCTTTTCACTTTTTTACATTCCCACCACATGTGATAAAATGTTCCTTCTTTTTCTTTACATTTCCAACATTTATTAGTAACTTTATACATTTTAGCTAATTTAATGGGTGTAATATACCATCTATACATCATTTTCATCACATTTTCTTTTAAGGCATTGCATGCAGTAAACTTTAAACCTTCTTTCCATAATTTTTCCCAATCACTCAGCTGTATATTATACCCAAAATCTTTAGCCCAATGAATCATAACTGACTTTACCTTTTCATCCTTGTCATTCCATTTTAATTTCAGGTGATGTAGGGGTTCACGTTTGGATAACTGGCCACAGAATTGTCCACTGGGCTTGAGCTCGTGTCTTTGATCAAGATCTGGGGTGCAGGCTGGGATGACCAGTGAATGTTAGAGTTTCCTGGATCACATGGAGGGGAATGCATTGGGCTGAATTCCTGCCAGCAGTGAAAGCTAGTGTTGCCATGCATGGTTCCCCTGATGTCTTGTTTATACAGCTGGGAGAAAATGACTTGGCCTATCGAAAGGGCGTGGAACATTTACAAGGACTTTGATGAACTGATTGCCTCTTTCCCAAACCTGACCCTATTTTGGTCATCACTGCTGGAGAGGCATGTGTGGCATTGCCCTATTGCGATAAACAAAGCCAGGAAACTCTTGGATTGGTGGCTCATAGAGTGGTAGCACTGACAGCGTGATCGAGCACCCCACCATCAAGTTCGGCGAGGTGTCCCTCTACCGCAAAGATGGCGTACATCTTTCTGATGTGGGAAATGATGTTTGGCTGGCTGATCTAATAGATGCCATTAGGAATTGGTTGCAGGTGTGAAGGCATTGGCGGTGAGCCGTTTGGCTCGGGTGGCAGTTAGGCTTTGGAATATTGCTGGAGAAGAGAGGAGGTGAGGTAGTGCCATCACCTCCCCCACACATTGAAGAGTATTCCGTTAAAGGATTCCGGGGGCGTGGGCCTGTCCGAAGCCTGGGGAGGCCAGGGCCTAAGGCACGACCCCTATCGGTGGCCTTGGGGGAACTCCTAGTTGATGTGCATCAGCAGGACTCCCCCTACTGGTGGTTAACTCTTCCCGGACTCCGCGCAGACGGGCGGGAGTCACATATAGTCAGTTAGGTCCAATGCCTAAGCCAATACCACTCACAATCTGTAACCAATAAAGTTGTGGCCTTTTTTAGCCCATTAACCTAAAATACTGTTGTCAAGTGTCTTTATTCAGCCTTGTGGGGTGGGGCGGTCGGGACCTTGCCACACAACAGACATCTTCATCTTCAAATCTGATGGGGTTAAACACAGGTCACATTTATTCAGTGAATATGCACAGACGGAACTGCAGGATGACTGTAGGTGGCCAGTGTGAGTGTGGGCGGTTTTAATGCCACCCCCTTCCATAAGCCACACCCCAAAAGGAGAGGTAAGGAAGCCTGCTCCACCACTTCTTGGAGCCCTACAACTCTGAATGGGTGTTGCAGGTTCAGCGGCATAGCTAGCTGCTTAGGCACCCAGGGCGGCGCAAATGCCCTGTGCCCAGGGGCGGCACAAGCAGGGGCAGAGCACATTGCGCGGAACCTCCATGGAGTCTGCAAGCCCCACGTTGCCATTTCGGGCAGCACGGAGCCTGCAGGTGCCCAAACAACCGCGTCACTCCCCAGGAGAAATGTGTGGCTTAGGCACACTGCAGGGCAGACCCACACTCACCCCACTCAGTGATGACACCTGAGGCGGTCCGCATCCACCACACACCCCTTCCTACGCCACCGTGCAGCTTAAATACAGCTTAAAGCTCAAATACAATACAGAGCTTAACAGCTAGGAAAAAGTTGTGAACATGGAATTAACTACCATGTGAATGCAGTCTAGGAATGAAAGCAGCTTCCTCCAACAACTTTGGATATATTTCTACTTGTTTGGGTCAGATGTCCTATCTTTGCATTGACAGATTGGCACCCTGGGCATTCTGGAATCTCATATACTCAAAATATCAACCAATGTGATGAACAAAATAGTTGCCAATCTACATTGCTTCTTTTTAACAGGAGGGCAAAAAAACATTCTAGTACTTGGTGCTAAAGAGGAAAAATCCATTCCGAAGGCAATTTCCTCTATCTGGATACAAGATTTGCATTCTGTAGCCATTAACGATAAAAGGATGCTTACTGCCTTCTTCCCTAAGAACAAATTGAAAATCCTTCATGATAAAATTTCCCCACATTGTGATTTTCAGCTCTGTCACATATTGCAGAAAAATGGTAATAGGCTTAGCATACCTATCTTCTCAGTGACAGATACATTTTGCTTGCAATTGAGATACTCAGCTTTTTTCCAGCTCTGATGTGTATTGCATTCGATATGACCTTTGTTATTAATACTTGGTCCCAGGTTTCCTCTCCAATTGCAAACCCCAGATTGCAGAGGTCCTGTAGCAAAATAAACACACACACACACAAACAAAACAAACGCACACTGCATTGTTTGTAGAATTAAGTTCAACTCTCTTTGTTGCTACCATCTTCCCTGCAAAATTTCTATGCCATTTGATCTGGGAGTGGAATTGCTTGTTGAAGTCATTGGGTTTTCTGCCTGCCATGACGGGATTGCTACCATCATTCACCTTAATTTTTATAAAATCTGAAAAATAAAATATACACTTTCCTGAATTTCCAAAGCATTTACAAAATAAAAATGTACAAACTGCCCCTGCCTTGAAATTTCCCTGGCCTTTTATCACCCCAGATTTGATTGTTAGGGTATATAGAGTAACAGTTACATACAGTTAGCAGTAGATAAACCTGACAGAGCAATTAATATAGAAAATATCAAGATAATGGAAAAGGAAGAGGGTCATTAGTGCAGGATGCGGGAAATGTAAAGATGCATCAATGCAGGACAGAGATGCTGATGGGAGCACTCCAGGGATACGGTATGAAGATCTTTGGGCTGTGTGAAGTGTCATGGTCAGGGATGGATAATAAAAAGGCTGGAGCATCCACCATCTGGTAGAGCAGAAGGGAAGATGGGAAACATCAACAGGGAGTTAGAAATGCTAGGGAAAGCCAGACGGTGAGAGCATTGATTAAGATTATTTTGTTGATTAGGTGGTGGCACTCTCTGATTTAATGTTCCTTGTGAAGGAGGTGTAGCAGCTAGCCTTGTGGGCTAAGAGCTCCGGCCGTCAAAGGCAGCTGAAATTGGCCCTGACCCTGACAGTGTCAAAAATGCTTCTCTATACAAAACTGGCAGGAAGGGTCACGCAAGAGGAGGAGGTCATTTCTAAATAAGGAAATGTTGCACATTCCAGGGCAGAAAGGGCTGTGGAGATATTCAGCAGCATAGCCCTTACATCTCAGGTGCAATTTGCTCTGCAACCCATTCCCCTCCTCTGAAAGACCTTCAAGTGCTGCACTTTTTGGTATGTAGAAGGTAATGCCTTTATTTATTTCATTCCCCCACCCCAGCATCTTCCCCATAGGTCTCAGAGCATCTTGTAACCTTTAAAGCATTGATTAAAAACAACTCACAACAACAGCAACAACAACCAGAAACCTGCTTACCCATATAGACCTGTATGTGCAACTTCATGTGGATGCCCATCTAGGTCTGACTGATGTGGCTGAATGGGCTGGATGAGAGCCAGTGTGGTGTGAGAGCCAGTGTGGTATAGTAGTTAAGAGCGGTGGACTCGTAATCTGGTGAACCGGGTTCACTTCCTCGCTCTTCCACATGCAGCTGCTGGGTGACCTTGGGCTAGTCACACTTCTTTGAAGTCTCTCAGCCTCATTCACCTCACAGAGTGTTTGTTGTGGGGGAGGAAGGGAAAGGAGATTGTTAGCCACTTTGAGACTCCTTAGGGTAGTGATAAAGCAGGATATCAAGTCCAAACTCTTTTTATTCTCCTGAGCCAGATGGGCAGTGCTTTTTTCTGGGGGGACAGAGGGGTACGCAAACCCCGAAACATTTTGGCCTCATTGAGGGGCAGTATTTCAATATGAGTAGGAAAATGAGAGTATCTCTAAGCATTTTTTTAAGAAAAAAAAGCACTGCAGTTGGGAATGCATATCCCCATCCAGAGGCATTAACTGTTGTGTGTGATAAGTTGCACATGCAACTGGGGCCAATGTAACTAAAGCTTTACAGTATGTTCAAAAAGTCCTCCAAGATTGGTTGCAGATGGGATGCTTACCAGAAGAGAATCTCATCACTGATGAGACAGGAATGACAAAGCCATGTTGTTCTTGTCTGCACCTGGTGGGCCAAGGGCTAAGGACAAATCTTGAATTGGACCTGAAAAGCATACTGGCAGATAGAACTAACATCCATGCACAGGTGTTTTTGTATGTGCCTAGCATTAGTAGGTGTCCTGTATTAGCTGAAGCTATAGTATTTCATGGATGAGTCCAGATATCCACAGTAAGCTGGATATAATAACATTGTCCTTGTCATATCCAGGGAACTGGGCAGGCTCAGAGCCACCTTCTGCAAAATCAAACAGAGACTATCATTACCTCAGGACCCTGGGAGCAAGGCAGCTGGTTACACACATTCCAGGTACTGGATATAAAGTGTTTTCTTTGTTTATTACCGTATTTTTCGCTCTATAAGACGCACCAGACCACAAGACGCACCTAGTTTTTGGAGGAGGAAAACAAGAAAAAAAATATTCTAAATCTCAGAAGCCAGAACAACAAGAGGGATCACCGCGCAGCGAAAGCAGCAATCCCTCTTGCTGTTCTGGCTTCTGTGATAGCTGCGCAGCCTGCATTCGCTCTATAAGACGCACACACATTTCCCCTTACTTTTTAGGAGGGAAAAAGTGAGTCTTATAGAGCAAAAAATACGGCAAATGCAGCAGCCAAACAGCTCATGGTTGCAAGAAACTAGGCTTCTAAGGTACAGTGAATGGTGTGATGGGCAATTCAAGAACATTGTGTGAGAAAGTTAACACTGAATGACTCCTGCTGAAATCAACCCAAGAAGTTAGTTATGGTGAACGTGAGTCCCATTGCCTTTCAGTTTACCAATTTATAAAGCTTTACAAGTAAAGGAAATTTGATGGAGTTTTAATGATCGGAAGATTCTGAAAAATGGCAGTGCCAGGGGGAAAGCATCACCGACCCTGGGTGAAAACTGTATACTTCCTCCTATTTCTAAAAATTGGCCTGTACTAGCTATATAATTTTTCTTTTATCTTTTCAAAAAGTGTTCATACCTCGTTTTATTTTAAAAGACAATGAGAATGTTCTTGTAAATCGAAATATTATAAATGGAACGCCACATTTTATTTTTATGAAAATAGCTTGCAAAGGACCTGCATGATGGTAAACAAATGCGGGTGTGTGTATGTATAATTTTCTTTTTAATGACTTGCAAGGAATATAAGAATTTTTGGACCAAACGACAGTATGGTCGTATAAACCCAGATGCAATCTTGAAAGCATAAATTCCTGACTGGTTTATTTTTGAACTTACTGAATGGGGACAGGACTGTAGTAGTGTAAATATTAAAGTATTACATCCTTCTATTCAATAAAGTTGAGCTGAATAGAATTATCACCTTGAAATTATAGGGTAAAACTCCCTATACAAAAACAGATTAAAGACAAATTAGACTGTGGGCCAGGTCACTATGATTGTTAATTAGTGATAATGGAAATACAATTAGCATAATGAGTTCCAATTACTGTATATGGAGAAATATGAGCATACTGCTTTCATAAATCTTGGTTCCAGGAAAAATAAAATGCATCCGATTTAACAAAGCATGCCCTTCTTGTCCATAGAAAGCTTTACCTTTTTATGTAGCTAAACTGTTCTTGTGGTTTAGG